ATTCTGGTAACGCAGACACACACACACGGACCTGAGCTTTCTTTGTGGTGACAGCGTAGTGTTTGTCAAAACCACTGTTGCATAAATGTTTGCAGGATGTCCTGGGTTCGGGTCAGATTTTCTGGAACAATAGCCTGAGTCACTCATGCACGCACTCCGTCTCTCTTTGTATCCCTCTTTCTCTCAAACACACACATGGACAGCCAGAGCACGTTTGAACTACTTTTAACTTTCTTTTCTCCCTGAGCATTCGCCTTCTGCATGCTCACGATGTATTTTTCTCGACATGCATTTAATATAAAGGTTAAATTGTTCAAGACAATTTGCGAGCATAAAGGTCTGAAGGCCTGAGGTGAAGGTTTGGCAACACAACATTTAGATTTAGAGGCGAATTCCACTGATTTGTTTCCACATCTGCTCTAACGCACCCCTGTTTGACACGGGTCTTATATTAACAACCCGCTGACGTCGGCTGCAGCGGATCCTCAGACAACCCGACATCATCGAAGCAGACATTTTCTGATTCCTCTGACATATTTGAGCTTTATTTTCGAGACACATTCCTTCCCAAGGGGCTCTTTTGATGACTTTATAACTTGTCATATTCCTGTATATAAGCTAATGTCGGTGTCTCAGTTTCACATTCATCATAGCTGTCAGAGCCAATGTGGTGTACAGAGGGAGCCGCTGCTGAAAAAGCAGAATCACAGGCTGCACGGTTTCGACTGAGGGAAATCGCTGGTGTGGAATGTACTGTAGGTGTGAGCGGGTTGGAGCAGGTTTTACGGTGCTAATCAGCGGTTGACCTGTGGCTTTCACATCTGGACCTCCAACCAGGAAGCGGTTAGCGTCTTAAGACCTAAGTCTCTTTGGCTGTATTATACGTAGCCGCTGTCAAACTGATGATCTATGCATGCGTGCGGCAGAAAGAGTGAGGGAGACGGACAAGTTCATCTGAACTAAACTGTTGACCTTTGAAGGGGACACCTCATTTGTCAGATGTGGACTGGTGTGGAGTGCTTTAACTTAATTACCCCGTTCCACAGGGAGCTAGAAGGTCTCATTTGCAATTTCCTCCTGCTTTATATTTGACTCTTTCTGCTTTAACTATCTTTCTTCTCCCCATGCAATTCAACTGCGTCCCTTGTAGCATTTTCCTGAAGTTTAGAAGAAGTGGAAAGTAACAGTTTTAAATAGCCTACTTAAAAGTAAGACTAGAATTTTGAAAACAAAGAGATATCACAATCTTTCTATTCAATTAATCACTGAATCCATAAAATAAATGAATCAGACTAAAACACAGGGAACATAAACAAAAAAAAGCAGATTTGAAATATTTTTTTCTACTGAAATGTGACGCTACTGACTTATTCTGACACCAAAGTTTGATCCTATGATCACAACCAGAAATGTCAAAGTTGCATTGTCAGGATTTGCAATTTTGTTTTTCTGGCACTTACACATATAGTTTTCCTATGCTCAGTACACCTTTCATCAAATTTTCTCTCCAGTTGTTAATTTAAACCCTAAAAACTAATTTCAGTCTGTCCAAAATACATATTTTTACACTTTTTTTTCCATGAAAATAACACATTTTTGCATTAAAATGGCTTAATTTTCCCTCAAAAACCGTTGCGTCCTTCAGAATGTACGGATGCGTAAAATAGGTTACTGTAGCTCAAGCACACCAGCTCACCCAGGACTCTGCTCAAACACAATAAAACCATGGCACATAATGTCACGTTCCAACAATGGACTAACTCAGCCATACAAGTCTGGATTGGAAACTGAATGTGAAGAAGAAGATTTATACGGAAAACCCCAAACCGCAGGTTAACGGGACTGGCTCCTTAAATATGACATCCCAGAAGTCTGAACCTGTGTTTTAGACAGAATCACCAGTATGCTGCAGTTATAAGATGGAAATGCTCAGACACAGCGTCTATTGTTTTTGTTTTTGTTTTTAATTTCTTATGTCTTTTAGCTTATTACAATCACCATATGGACATGTTAGCAAATTAAAAAGCTTGAGCTGCTGGAACTAGGAGGAGCTTAGCTTAGCTTAGCATAAAGACTTTTAAAGCACGAGGAACATATATAATGACTCTTTCAGTATGAATGTGGTGTCAATCTTCTCTTTTAACTCTCTGCAAGACAGTAAGAGTATTTTTCATAATGTTCCCATTTCTCCTCTGCTCCACTCCATTTTAATATGGAAGACTTTATCCAATCTGACAGGAGTGCTTAGAGAAGTCAGAGAATTATTTTATGGAGCTGTTTTAATGATGTAATGATTCCAGCCAAAAAAAAAAAAAAGAACAAAATGAGTAATTCAAGTTTTTTTTTTTTTAATATGTTATACGGCTATACCCTTTACATCAGCTATATGTTATCTGATATCTGCTGACATAGCATTTTTTACCTTCACATGAAGCTTTTTCTCACAAAGTTCCAGGGATGCACAATGATATCGGCATCATTAGAATCACTCGGTAAAAGCTCTAAATTGAAATATCTGTCCAAAATGAACATTGACAGGCAAAAAATATGAATAATAGCCAGTCCCCACAAGGGCGCCACATGATTGCATTTATTTACTTGTTTGGCATTTTGTGAAATAGGTCCAATTTGCTGTGGCGTTGACTGTCTAAGAAAGAGCATCATCAAAGCCTCTTAAAGTAGGATGAAGTTTACAATTGTCTTTGTAATCTTTCATCAAATTAAATATGGTATATTTTACATTTTGCCAAGTTAATATTTGTACATTTGAAAAGCAATGTGTTTCATATGTGCATGTCTCAAAGGGCCAAGAGTGGGAATAATAATAAAGTTAATTCCGCTACAGGAGAAACTTGATGTTCTCTGCAATTAGGCGGAAGCAATATGTGCACTTATCAGTGTCGGCACTGGCCATTATTGAGCCAAAATCGATGAAGCTGGCAGAAATCCAATATAGTGCATCCCTGCTTTACACTCAGAAATGTGATAGTTAAGTAAACGTCTAAACCAGTTAAACTTTGAATGCGGGTTTCTTTTTCTTCCACTTTGGTGTCCCAGAAAATATCGGATTACGCTGCCAAGACCGTTCTGACATAATTGCTACCTACAGGTGATGGAAGACGCCACTATGATTCAACACTCGCAAGGGTAGCACAGGAGCACACGAGAAGATAGAAGAGCGGTGTGGGAGGGCTGCTTGAACCCACCATCACTGAATGAGCTCATAAATCATTCAGTGTTCAGATTAAGTTCCCAACACATGTCTGGTTTCAGGTGGCATGTCAACTCCATGTGACCTCTCTTGTTTTAAAAGGTGACTATCATCATGTATTCACAACGCGAGGGCACATTCTTATTCATTATTTTTAATCCCTGAGCGCTGCAAACCTAAGCGTATTTTAATGGAATTAACAGAAGATGAGTGATGGCTCAGCAGTTTCGCCTGGTTCGCCGTGAAGGTGCACCAGAGAAACGCTCGCGCACTGATTCAGCAATTATCGCACGGGGGGATGTGATAAATTGAAATGTTCTTTTATTAAACAAGAATCTTGCATTGCAAAAATTGGCAGCATTTGATGTAATAGTAGAACCTGTTAAGGGTTTCCATGCAACTCACATGAGCTTATGAAAGGTGCTTTGAAAGTAAATACTGTTAGATCGTGTTGGAGATACCTCTGCATCTAGGTTCTCCTTTCAGCTCCTTTCTTCTTTTCTTTGCCCTGCTTTTGATGTTGATTTGTTTCCATGGTTCTTCTGTTTTGTTTGATGACCATCTCTTTTTCCATCTCAGCCTCCCACTGGCATTTCCTAGCCATTTGCTTTTTCTCTTTTCTCCCATCAGTCTTTACAGGGCATGCTCTCCTCCCTTCACTCTGAGCTTGACATTCAGAGGTATTTGATGAAAATCCAATTGCCCCACAGAGTTAGTCGCTCTTTTATCTTATCTGCATCCTGTGTGTGTGTGTGTGTGTGTGTCATTGTGTGTGGCACCTTCACTAACATCTGCTGTGCGACCATGCGACCATGTTCCCAACTCTTCCGTGTCTCTCGGCGTCCGCCCTGTCTGTGCTTGCCAGCCCGCCTCGGCTGGATGAACCAGTTCTTGCCCCGAAAGCACCCACAAATGTCAACTGCACTTAATATAAAACGCTTAAATTCTTTATTTGTCTGTACATGTATGAGCGCGAGCGAACTGCTGCATGTGCTTGCAGGTGGGTTGAAGATAACCTGAAGAACCCGGCCTTGTGTCTCCCGCTACATTAGCTCCGCAGCTGACAGGGAAGACAAGCATTTCATAAAGAGCCCAGTGTTCACTGACCCCTCGGTGTCAGTCCTATCTCGTCCCTGTGGTGCAGATCACCTTACAGCGCCGCACAATAGCTCAATGGGCTCTGTAGTCATGTCACACATCGTCTTATTGTAGCTGTGGCTCGAGGATGCCACGTCATGCGGCTCTGATTACAGAGTGCAGGACTGATCTTAAAGTTGTGATGACACAATTCCTGATCCTTAATCAGTGGTTGGGAGGAATTTTATCCACTGGACTCACATTGTAGGAGTTTGTTTGATCCCTTTCAGTGCGTCTCTGCTAGTATCTTTACTAACCGTACTATCATGAAGGTGAAATGAAATTGTACGAGTAGAAAGTTCAAATTGATAACTGGTGGTGCAACGGTGTGTTTGTGTGGGCATGTAATAGTGACATACAGTAATGACACTTGTTTGCACATTTGCATGAAGGCAATGTTTTTAGTCATAGTAAACATCAAAGGTTCTTTGTCCCTGCTTGTCAAAGAGGGCGCAACTCTTAACACACTTGGCAGATAAAGTGTTATTTTCCAGCTTGCCGTTTGCATTCTATCTTCAAGGGTGTGTTAACTGTAACAATCAGAGAATTTTGCTGTCACTTTTGAGATTGTAAAACTCATGCATGGTCTTGTGTGCGACATCTCCGTGGTCTCACCCTCACGGTTTTGTTTCCCATGTGCCTCCCACTCCAGAGCAGAAGCCCAAAGCACGGCCCCAGCCCCCAGCCCAGTGTCGGCGACCAGGTCGACCACCTATCCCTGGCCTCCCTGGAATCGCTGGACGCCATGTCTGAGGCTGATGCACCCACAACCTTCACCCGCGGCAGTCGGGTTCGTGCCAGCCTGCCTGTGGTGCGATCAACCAACCAGACAAAGGACCGCTCACTAGGTACGCTTTTTGTTCGGTTTTTGGGTTGATGGCAGTTGAGTTAGTTGAGGAAAAAGCCCTCCTTACCTTGACTTCAGTCAGCTGTCTTGTCATGCTGTTTCTTCCACCAAACTGGTCTATTTAGAATTTATTTTGAACAAAAAGTGTATCTTAAATGTTTGATTGACTTTTTGAATAGGCTGAGAGATGAGCAAACTGACATTAGTCATGTTTGTTACGACTCTTTTAGCATAAAAGTCAAGAACTCTGTATAACTTCTAACCACACCATGATCTCATAGTTTCACATTCACAGTCAAGGTCTTTTCCTTTAACTCCATCTATCTTCTACTCTCTTATTTCCATCCTCTCTCCACCTCAGCTTACAGTTTTGTTTTAATTATTATTCATTTCTTCTGTAGTGAAAGATAGGGCAGAGCATCCACAGTACGCCATCGTGTTATTGACAGGATTAGAAATGGGTCGTCTTATCAACACACATGGTGCTTCATTTGCATACATATGCAGGAAGACTCTAAAGTTGTGCAGAATTAGGTTGCTGTATTAGGCTGAGAGTGATGCAAAGAGTTTGAGAACTCTCAAACAAAGTACAGCGCCGGTTGTTTTTCAAGAGGATGGGTCTTTAAGCATGGCTCACAGCTCAGCACGGCATCTGCTATTGGATAATAAGAAAGCATGTGAGTGGCGTGCCTTTTGACCAAAAGCGAAAATGAATGAAACTGCAGGGTGTCGTTTTACACACTTTTCGGTAGCCCCTGCGCTTTTGCTCGAGAAGCAGAAAAGCGAAACCCATGCAGAAACAACACAACAAAAATCCTTTACACAACACATGCATGCACAAGAACACACATGCTCCATCACTTGCTCTCTCAAAACTTCAAAAACATGAGGACAAAGCGTTAGGACAGTGGGGGGTTATGGTGTGATGAAGGGGGAGGAGGGGGAAAAAAAGAAAAAGAAAAAAGGGGGGCACCACTTTACGACAGTGTCCCTCCCACAGTCTCAGACACACAAACACAGAGGAACACGCTTCACTTAGTCCCAACGGACATTTGAGGCTTTCTAGTATCTGTAGGAGCTGCAGCGTGGTCTTTTCCAGGGCATCAGCTGAAAACAGGAAAACCCTTCATGTGAGTATCAGATTCGTTCTAGAGCGTGGCATCAAGTATGCTGAATCTCAAAGCATTGATTTTCTGGCTGTGATATAGTAAGTTGCTGCCTTTTTCTTGTATTTTAAACTTTAAACTTACATTAACGGACGCAGGAGGATATTTTTCAGAGCTGTTTAGTTTCAGCCTTTGTGCTTCACTGCAGAGATGTGGAATTCTCTGCTCTGCTGTGCCCATTTGGTCAGAAACCCCACTGGCCATTTGTTTCCAATTCTCGGTGAAACCAGACGCTCAGGAATGTAACACTATTCCTCGTTATAGCTGAGCTATTCAATATAATTGCGGCAAATAAAGTGAATGCTAAAGAAGTACGGTGTTCATAACGCGTGCCCAATCAATGGCGCTTTGTCATCAAACTCATTCGCTCTAGTTGCTCACATCTGGATGAAAACTGGCCGAGTGTTAACATAACAGCTCTCGGGGGAAAGATGAAGTTATTCTGCAAATGGGCACTTTGTTAAGTTATTACTACACAGGAACCCAGACAGACCAGAAAGAGCAATGGATAGACTCAGCAATTTTATTTCCTGGATTTGCCCTCTCTCTGTCTCACTCTGTCTCGTGGAGCATGTAGGATCTTGTATAATATTTCACCAACATCTGGTAGCTTTTACTGGCTAGGTCCTTTTATGGGGTTTACACCAAGTAGAACCATACCTTCCTTTTTTCTTAAAGCAAGCAGCTATTTTCAGCGCACAAATGCGAAAAGTGACATGAGAATGAATCACGTCGCGTCTTTTGTCTCTGCACTTTATGAAAAGTGACATTCTGAATGATTTGTATGAAACATGAGCAGGCGCAAACTGATTTAGCCGCTTTGATCATTTCATTAAGTTCTATTGTTGCTACAGATTGCTTATATAATGCAGTTTGAAGCAATGAATCAGAGACTGGAAATAGAAATGTGTTTTTTTTCCTCCTGGCATTGTTTATACAAGTGCTGTGTGGGCGTGTCCATAAATTTTGTGGGAGAGGACATCTGTTTTTCTAAAGCACAGTACAGATGCCACACCCAGGGTTCAGAGGTTCAAAGTTTGGTCTTTTTGATGCACAACTTGTACTGTTCCACCCTGAGCGGCACATGGCCCTGCTTTTGTCCGCAATTTCTTCCCCCAAATCACTTTTTAATATCAAATAATTTGTCCGTTTTTTTAGTTGAATGCACAGCAAGCTGTTTTCTAACATGTAACATTTGCAGGTGCAACAAAATATACACGTCTTTGCAAATCTGCAGCTGAAAATCTGCTAGAAAACTACACACTAAAGGACGCTTTTTATGACACAGTTTGATTTTTGATGCCATCTGTGCCACAACTCAGGCAAGAATTCAATTTGAAGTCCGTTTAAACAGCTAAAATAATGTTTTCCTACTTCACAAATTGTGATTGGAACTTGCATGAGCCACAGTTGTGTACAATTTAACACAAACCTAATCAGAAGATGAATGTGTTCTGTGTATGTCAGCTAGAGTCCGGTACAAAACGGCACATCAGGAAAAGATTTAATGTCGAAGTCACATCACCCATTGATTTGTGAATTACCACTCTGAAGCCTTGAGTTTGGAAGTTGACCGTCCTCATGTTGTGTTTTTTGAAACTGGACGTGATGAGTTAGGGGGTCGATCTGACTGAGAACTTGAGAACATGCTATGCACACTCATACTATAGCAACCACAAAGGTAGCCATACCCTAAAGTGTACCTTGCGTTACTATTAACGACTTAATTCTAAATAGGAACATAATTTACTAATTGAAGAGCATTCTGTATTGAGGAAGATTTAAAACTAGCAATAAAGAACATAAACTTATTAGAAAAATGTTTGCTGAGACAATAAATCAAGTAAGAAATAGTTATTTTCTCATAGATTTCTATAGAATCAAACTTCCTTTTACAGTCAGAGGAGTCGCCCCCTGCTGGGTATTCAAAAGAATGCAAGTGTAAGTCACTTGCACATTGGCTTCACTTTCTAGGCTATGTCTACGTTTTGTATACAATCTATAGCCACAGTATAGATTTAAATCTTGATAAATAGCTACACACTGAGCAGCCATGAAACTACGGCATAACTTATGCAGGTAAATTTCACTTTTTAGTAGAATCAAGTGTTGGAGGTAGGTTGAGGCTCACCCAAACTGCAATACTGCATTACACATGGCCTGTTGTCTAGCCAGATTTGTTTGGCATTGTTTTCTTGTATTCTGATATTAATCCAAATAGATTAACATTCAAAGATCTAAATCCAGACCAGTTTTCATTGAGCAGTCATTTGCTAATGTAGGTTGCTAAGTCAATACTTGTTGTGCAACAGATTAACCGTAAAAGCCTTTCTGCTGGTTAGTAATTTGGGGGGGGCGGGGGTTTACCGTCAAGGAGCTGCATGAAGTATTGTGTCTGCATTAGCATATTAACACTGCAAGCTCGGCTGAACTACTTCTTCAGCATTTGAAAAACAGTGAGATTAACAATCCGGGGGGGGGAGAAACAGAACGGTGCATCACTGCTCATGCAAGCTGCAGAAATCACATGCTTGTGTTAGTCATAGGAAAGATTTGAAAGGAGTTTACTTTCTGGCTAATCACCCTGTTGCCCTGCTTTCTCCTCTCTGTAGGTGTACTGTACCTGCAGTACGGGGACGAGACCAAACAGATCCGCATGCCTAATGAGATCACCAGCATCGACACAATCAGAGCTCTGTTCGTTAGTGCCTTCCCGCAGCAGCTCACCATGAAGATGTTGGAGTCGCCCAGCGTTGCCGTCTACGTCAAAGACGACATGAGGAACATGTACTACGAGCTCGCTGACGTCAGGTAAAGACATAAGTTTGAGCATCTTAAACAGAAAGACTGATTGGGAATATGTGTCGAACAGCATGTGTTGTGTTTTGGAAACAGGACATCCAAGGTTCAGAATATTTTCACTAGTTCTTTCCTGCTTCCCTCCACAAGCCCTTTCTGTCCTTATGTCTCCCCGAACGGGAAATGTCTCTGGCCAGGAAACCTCCTCTCTTTCCTTTCCCTCCATGTTTAACAGAAAGTAATTTGGAGATGCAGCCCTACGACAAAATCTCTCAGATGTACTTTAACAAACTGAGGAGTACTTTTAAGAGACTTTCTTGCCAGTTTTCCTCCTGTGAAAGTTTGTGTCTGAAAACTTTAGGCACTGTTAAGACACTTCTATGCTCCAAAATATTGTGTACTGTGTTGTGCGTCATCATTTACAAGAACGAAAGACATACACTAGCTCAGATTTTTCTTCTTTCTTGCACCTTCCTGGTTTCGTATTCACCTGCATGTCTTGTCAATAGTGCAGCAGATTCTTTGTGCTGAGGCAGAATACAGCCATTTATTCTAGTGTTGTTTTTTTCCAAAGCAAAAAAAAACAAAAAAAACACAGCTCTTGAAGACGTAAGAAACTTTACTTCATTGTGTACAGAGTTCCCGCTCAAGTACAAAGTGCACTTTGTGACTAATTCTTTATCAAGGCTGTAAAAAATTGTCTCGTGATGGTTTAAGGTTGGTCTGCTGTCCAGGGTACACTGTAACGCCTCAGCAAGAGGGTGAGATCGGCAAAAGAAAAAGCAGATCCGCCGTCCGTTTGTGTGGCTGAGCCACCTCTCAGCACAGTATTCGTGGATGTTTTGACAGACTTTTGAGATTTAGAGGAAATGTCGCATAAAACAGGACTACCCGAGTCTCCGTTAGGGCATGTGCGCTTTGGAGGGTGGTTAGAGAGAGCCAGGCTGAGGCAGGATCGCCCGCGGTCCGACGGTGATATCTGGGCTGCCCTCTTACCACAGCACACCTCTCTGTCCTGCAGGAACATCACAGACCACTCCTGCCTGAAGGTGTACCACAAAGATCCAGCACAGGCGTTCAGCCATGGACCCCGACCTGCCAACGGCGATGCCAGGGTGAGTATTTAACCCTCGCTTAACACAGCAGTGAAACTAGTCTCATTCATAGCAGCGGATTGTCACAGACAGAATAGCCTCCGGTTCTTCTTCTTCTCCTCACATCCTGTTTGCAGTTAAGGGAAGGAATGTCCCCCTGCCTCTTGTTAATCTGTTTAGAGGGGGTCTGATATTGTTCTCTCAGGGGCCTGCGTCTGGGCCTCCCTTATACGCTCTGCTGCAGCTTGTTTAAGGGACAATTGAACTCAATTCTCAGGACTGTTTCTCTTTTTCATTCTCCCCCTTCCAATATCAGCTCTAATCTCTCCGCCTTGTTCGGATTCTACTGTGTTTGTTTCCTGCTGATGTAACAAAACTAAAACCCCAAATAACCCTTTCCTCGAATGTTCATCCTCAAATCCGCCTCTCTAATCCGCCTGACCCATCATCTGACCTCGCTGCTCCTCTCTGTCCGCCACAGATTTACAGTTGGCATTGCGGCACTATTGTGATACTGCAAATTTGACATTAACCTTACTTATAATCCCATCGCCACATAACTGGACTGTGCGTGTCACGGAAGTGAACAGGGAAACTGATAAAGTTTAAAACAATGACGAGGCAAATGTGACGATGCCGTTCAGCGGTATTACTTGAGGTGCTGCAGAAGTCTCTTTTTATTCTGTGCTGCTGAGTTGGCTCCTTCAAAGGGAAGTGAACAAAAGACGACTTGTAAAAAACGATGGCAAAATCAGATACGAGTAAAACAGTAAAAGGGGAGTTTAAGTGTGCAAATAGTTTGAGAGCAGGGAAGTTTAATATTAATAGAGTTGTGCAGAACAGTTTTTTCCCTCAACTTCTTTTTTCCTTAAATCTTTTACAGCACTGCCTATTTAATAAATCTGGGATTTGCTGAATCTGCCGGTTTGAAAACGATAATTTGTGCTCAGCGGGCTGAAATGCATTAAGCGGAGAGACGCGAAGCGACTTCGCATGGGTTCCTGTGCAAACATTGTGAAATCTTGGCATTAGGTAAGAGAGGCAGAAGAACACTGTTGTCATGAACAGTTCTGTCACTGTTTAACCAAGCAGTAATTGACACAGAGATTTGGACGTGGCTGTGAGGTGTGGAGAAAACACGCTACAGAGAGGAATTAGTTAGATGACATTTGTAGAAGCGATCCAACAGTTGGTTTCTGGTAAATATAATAATATTCAGACACAAACACGTACATTGTAGACTCCTGTTATAAGCAGTGTCTCTATTGTTGGCAGATTCACACTGCAGATTTCGTGTATTTTGTTTGCTTTTCAAAGCCTGAGACAATATAGGTTTTTCAAGCCTGTATCCTTTTTTTTCTTTCTTTCTTGGCAACCTCTTTTAATAATGTAACAGAAAGCTGGCTGCACAAAGGAAAACTCTACAACCTAATGAGCACCTGTTCAAACAGCTTTTTCAATGGGGGGATACTTCACATCTGTTCGGCCTATAGAGTGTCCTCTTATCTCGCAGAAATGTCAGGCCTCAGATCTGGTTCAAAGTGGGATCCACCGCTTTCGGTCCAGTAAAACCTATATGGAGGTGTCCCTGGTTATAAAAATCTGCTTTGCTGTCTGTCAGTAATTGATACAAGGTGGACAGAAGTGGGCAGTAACTGATAAGTACGTTGATAAGCTGCAGACTGTGATTTCCTGCACTTGGGTCTGATGAAGAAGCAGAAAATGTTTTGAAGCACTAATCTGTACTTATGCATTGGACGGTGCCCAAAGCTGTGCGTGCTTTGTGTTCATTGAATAGTCAATAGTGGCTGTCAGAGGTGATATTATGTACACATAGCTGGAGGAGGTATTTTGTAAACAGAGCTTCATTTATTAGTTAGCCTCTGATCTGCTCTCCTCAAGGCGATCGTCCTCATTTTTGCTATTTGCTTAAAAACTATTTGTCTTTTTGTTTTTAGTTACAATTATCATAATTAGCAACCATCTGTTTCGTCGCCAGCCCCATTATACGCACATCAGCGTAAAACATCCAGCAATCCAATCAGCTCTTTAAATGTTTGCTCCCCTCTCCGTGAACATTGCAGCACAGCTTCTCTTTATCTGTTTAGCTTGGCTCATTCTGAGACTCTGCAGTTTGTGAATCAGTTTACAAACCCGCTCCATCTCTGCCACGGCAAGACATCGAGGCAACTTTTGTGCACTCCAGCGAGATATGCAGCCCTTATTATTGGAAGCTTAAGACCACGGCGGAAAAATAAGTCCACTACTGCCTCGTACGTTGCCTCACATGGCTGCTCGTGTGCGTTTTTTCAAGCTGCTACGCCTTTGTTTTGTCTCAAAGCATTGAGTTGCACAGACAGAATGGGTATATTTTAGGGATATTTTACGATATTTTAGTTCCAAAGGTTCAACATCTGTTAGGGATTGACAAGTGATGCCTTTTGGCTCAAACTGTTCTTATATGGCAGGTGCTGGAATTGGAAAAAGCAGTCAGAGATGTTATTTAGTGCTCCAGAGAAATTCCCCTCACAAGGGCAACTATTCTTTTTATGTGCAGGCACCTTAAGTAGTGGGAGTCATTAGGGTTTGATGATGTGGCTCTGTGCTTTTCAGATTTTCTATTATGTCTTTCACTGCTTGGTCAGGCGTGTTGCAGCCGTATTTATAGGCTGTGTGAACTTTCGCTGCTAACAAGTTTCTTTCTTATTTATTTTATTATTTTTTTATGCTTTTGTTATCACTGCCAAGCCTGAGCCCTTTGTTACAGTACACTTTGAGCAATCGCTGTTTTCCAGTTCGTACAACGCACACCTCCTCACGTGCACGCACGTGTCACACCCACTTTGTTGTTCTATTCACTGTGATAATCTGCGCTGACACCGGGGAGGGGGGAAAAAAATAAATCAAGACGACGCTAAAAAAGCACACTGTCAAAAACTGTACCTGAAGTTTTTTTTTTTTTTTAACAACTTTGCATGAGATTTTTTTTAACTTGTCTTGACTTCTAGGTGTAACCCATGAGTCATACCTTGAAGGAACAATAGCTTGTTTGTTTGACAGGAATAGAGTGTAAGACAGCAAGAAAGATGGATTGGATTCTGCCCTGCGTTTGACACTTCCAGTGCGGCGTTATCACACATCCACGGGTTATATCGCTGTTTATGTGCTAGATTTTAGTTGCGAGTACGTGTTTTATTCTGTGAAAAAAATAACTTAATTAAAGAGTGCAAGACACATTATGCATATTCCTGCTTGTAGGTTCTGAGTTGATCTGAACTTTAATTGTTGCTTTGATTCCAAATTAGGTTTTGTTTCATATTGACTTCATTAAAATAGAATTAATGTCTTCTTTAAAAATGTGCGCAGTAATTCCTCACGTAAGCCATAAAAATAAATGTAGAGGAAGTAATACGAAGATCAGATAAAGGCAACCATGATAAAACAGTTCATGGTGAACACACAGCAGCATGTGGCTCACCACATTAACCCGACATCCTTTTCCTCCCACCATCTATCTAAGATGTTCACCTCCTTGTTTTCACTCTAGTTTTACCACCTACAGTTTCATTGTTCATATATTCTGCTTAACCAGGGAAGCCACTCTGGTTAATTGAGGTCAGGTTGTTGTGCATTAGCCTTCAGTCGTCGTTATAGGTGCTTGGGCTAAAGCGCAGATGCCCGCATTAGCTGACTGTTTAAACAGACAATGGTAGACAGATCTTGTTGCAAATTAACCAACTACCACCTAACCCCGGGGGTGCATATAAAAACTCTTTTTCTTTGCAAAGCCGCAGTCTTATCTCAGAGAGAGCTTGTTTAAAGTGGAAAAAGTAAGAAAAGAAATGAAAGAATCTTGTGTTCATGTATTCTAATAGTGTTTTATAGAAGCCTGTGGGTATAATATCCAGGTTTTAAAAATGTAATGCTGTGTATCCAGTGTTTGTAGCCTTGCAAGTACTTATTCTCTGCTTCTGGAAAAAATGCTGACTGTGTTTTCTTTGAAAGGCAACAGTGTAAACTGAGTTAGATGGATGTTTTTGTTTCAAGGGCAACTTCAGTCCAGAAATACAAGATATACACAAAATAAATAGTAGCTGAAGCTCTCGAGTGGACAGAAGTATGCTGTGTGGTTTACTGACCGGACTTCTCGTTGAGGAGAAGCAGTTGTCTTGAATTTTTAGGCATCGCTTTGTGTACAAAGAAAAGCATTTTTTTCTGTTTATAAGTCTAGATTAATTTACTGGATGCTTTTGTGTTTTTTTCCAGATGCACAACGAGATGGCACACGCCAGCCGTGATGGCCAGCACCCTCTTAGACATCCCCCAATGGGTCCCCCAGCACACCACCCCATGCAGGGAGCACTACCCCCGACTCCCCACTCCATGCCTCCCTCCCCCTCCAGAATCCCATTTGGCCCACGGCAGGGATCTATACCCGGGAACGCCACTATCCCAAGAGACCGACTGTCAAACGCCAACCCTCCGGCCCGCTCCATCTCGCCCTGTCCTAGCGCCATCCTGGAGAGACGGGATGTCAAGCCTGATGAGGACATGGGTGGGAAGAGCCACAGTCTAGCTCGGGGAAATGAGGGGTTGTATGCAGATCCTTACTTGCTCCAAGAGGGACGAATGACCATGGCTGCAGGCCACGGACCACACCCCAATCCTGGGCTTGACGGTTCAGAACACGGCATGGGGGGATTTCATCGTGCCTCCATTCGCTCCACGGGCTCCTACAGTGGGCCCAGCCCCACAGACACTATGGATCACCCTTCGCTGTACAGGCAGAAGTCCAGAAACAGCCAGCTGCCCACTCTGGGTTCCAAGACTCCTCCTCCATCCCCTCACCGGATGACTGAGGTACGGATGATTGACATCCATAGTGGGCCTCCTCATGGCGTTCCTCCTCATGGTGTTCCTCCTCATGGCGTTCCTCCTCATGGTGTTCCACCTCATGGCGTTCCACCTCATGGTGTTCCACCGCATGGCGTTCCACCTCATGGTGTTCCCATGGAGAGGAGCTCGCCAGTGCGCCAGTCCTTCAGGAAGGAGGAAGTAACGGGGACTAAACCCCGTAACAACGTGGGATCGCCTGTGGTTTCAGACCTCCAGGGTCACATCCAGGGACCCATCCCACCTGCCAATGAACATCAGACGCGGTAAGTTCCCAGCGGGGCCAAATGTTACATACAGTGGGCTGGTGGGATTGATAAAATTAGGATTAAGACGTTGCATGGGAGCATGGACTAACTCTGCATCCCAGTTTCACCCTAACCATGAGCTGCTGATTTTCAGTCCCTGGTTCGGACTCTGTTTCATCATCCATGACTGTGAGCAAGAATTTAACCTGTCCTGTCACTGTCTCCAGATCTGCAGTACAGCAGACTAATGCACATGATTATGCATCAGTTTGGTTTGTGTATACAACCAGCTCTTGCTTGTCTGACCATTGTTTTCACAGTCTCTATTCCAATTCTAACAGTGTTGATGACCATAAAGCATGTAGACTCAGACATGGGTGCCACCAATGAACAGGATAGTGTCTGAAAGCTCCATTAACTTACTGTATATTTTTCTGCTACTCTGTGACCAGTGTTCCAACAACAATCCTGGGGAGTCTGCTCAGTTTGGATAATCCAGCAGACGTTTGGGTACCTGGTTTAGGTTTGTCTACTCTTACTGAGAGCACATAAACATAGAAAGGGGGCGAGAGGGATGCTTACCCCTTAGCCAGGCAAGGGGACTTCACCAAAAGGGGATTAAGGGGGCTATGTGTGTACCTAAGAAAACCAAAGAAAATATTGACCAGGTTGAATAAGTATTTGAAATGGCCAGATCAGTCAAACAGATCAGGCGGGACCACCTGGGAAGCCCAAAAACCCCAATTAGAAATGCCCTGGGAATATTGTAAAAGAGTGGAGGAATTCGAAAAGGAAAAGTACTGTACTTAACTTTCAAAATAAACACAGTCCCACTAAGTGCTCTGTAGCTGTCATAGACTGTATTCATGTGAAATATGCTGCTCGACACTGAAGTCAGGCATTGTTGTGTTCACATAGACCTTGTGTCTGCCTATTGTGTGTGGCGGCGCTGAGACCACAGTCCGCCCTGTGTCCTCAACATGCCCCATATCCTTCCTCAAGATAAATGATGACAGCTGAGAACAAAAGTTGCTCTCTTCTCCAACCTTTAGGCTTACCAAGCAATCTCATTGTAAGGTTCCCTGTCCACCCCTCTGGTGTTTAGGCTTTCTTTAGGCAGTGTAATTTTCAAATAGTCCTTTCACTCTCTTCTTGGCCACTTGCGAGTCACTCTTGTTTTATTTAAAAAACAATATCACTCGAGCACCCCCGGTGTCAACCTCAGGGTCCTTTATCTCGTCTGGAGTCACCCATCTTGTTTATTCCATTTGGACTCAAGCTTTTTCTTTGTGTAAAGAGACTGAGTCAAGTGCTGTTGTAATTTAGAAACTACTGTTTTTATGTTACCAGAGTCGATATTTACTCAGGACATAATTGCAAAAAGAATCTCCACTGTGTAATCCATCCACAAAATAAGACAAAAAGATTAATGGTCTGGTGATTAAAAACAATTGATTATTCTGTTAACAGCGTTCTAATTCTGAGCTCTAGTGGCAGCTGTGATACCCAGTAGGCTTCGGTGTTGAAAGTAGAATTTTCTGATGTTTCTGCAGAGAGCGAATGAAGGCTATGGAGCAACAGATTGCCAGCTTGACTGGTCTTGTTCAGCATGCACTTTTAAAGGGCCCAAACACTAGTGGCACCAAGGAGCCTCTAAGGTAAGCAATCACAGCATAGGACAGAGCGAGGCGACGGGGGAATGGAGTTCCAAATGAAAAGGCCTGGTGATACAGTCAGAGCAGGACAGATAAAGTAGCCCTGCTATAATGGCCATATCAAACACTCAGGTTAAATAGCGCCTGGTGAAGAGGAAATAGGTTTGACTGTGAATCTGATATAGAAGTCATTTGCTGTCTAGATAAATGGCCACTTTGTATGGTTTATCTGGCTGCATTTCAACTCTTTGCATTTCAATCTGCTCTGTGAAGACTTTTTGTGGTAAAGTTTACTTGACAGTTAGTTTGAAAGGTCTGTGACTGCAGTGAATTTTTGTATGTTTCTGTGCTACGATGATGAAGCTTGTTAACATCATTAACATCATTTTAACCTCTCTGGTTTGTCTTTTTTCCATCATACTTTGTTGCAACGTGTTTGCTCATACTAATACCAACCTGTGCATCTAAAGTGCCCCATAATGGATGTATTTATCAAAATCCTGATCTGATTGATTTCTCTCCGGCTGCAGCGAGAGACCACCGAAGACCTCATCTCCAGCCCACAGTGCACATAGCTCAGGTTAGTATGGCAGCTACTCAGTACGATTTCAACTTCTCCTCTTTTTTTTTTTCCAAAGAAAGCATTTTAATGCCATTAAGTCTTGTGCAGACAAGCCCACACATCAGTGTCAGTCAGGAGTCTTCAATGAGCAGCGCTGGAGGGAGGAAAAACAAAGTCTGGCTTCTTTTGCTTGTCATCGGTTCAGATTTCCTCACAATCCTTTCCCCAGTTTAATAGGAGTTAAGAGAGGAGAGCCAGCAGAGCTAACACAAACCCCTCAAAGCACTACTTAAAACAAGATGCTATTACTTCTCAAGCCTGCCAAGATGATTCAGCGATTCAATCTCCGCGCCGCAGCGGTCTGCACCCAGATCGAGGTCTGATAAAAAAGATCTGCAGCCTCACCAGTGGCAGCGCAAAAACACAACGCCGTTTATGTGTCTTGAAGGTTAATCCCATGTCTCATGACACGTTTCGTATGCAGCTTTCAGGGGGATTTACTCGTCATGTTGTGCTTGAGCAAATCTTCAAAACATCAGAGAAGTTATAGTGTGTTCTTTGATCTCACCTGACTGCTCAAAGAGACATGTGGCACTTTTTTTTTTCCCTCAACCTGAAAATGCTTCCCCATTGTCACCACACAACATGCACTTCTTTTGATGGACATCGTTTTCCCCAAGGCCCAAAACACAATCAGCAGTGTACATTGTAACCTGTACTTCAGGTCCAGGCAGCTGTAAGGGAGATGATGTGAATGGATTTTTGGGATTACAAAGACAAAAGTTTCTTCTTTTACTGCCACCTAGTCTGCATCAAGAGAGCTTAGAGTGCACTCGGAGCATTCCCCAAACTACTGTGTAACTCTGGGGCGGGAACAGTGCTTTCTTTCATTGATTTCTGAGGTTAAAGGTTTGGTTCTCACTTACCTCTAGTGGTATCTAGCCATGCAGCTCGTTTTTAGATACTTGCTTTTGAGATTTAAGCCTCAAATCCAATACAATGAAGGTAAATGCATTTTTATTTGTGGGGTTCACGAGGTTGAAAAATTCGTTTTAACAAAATCACATTTGTTCAGAAACTATTTTACTGTGAATAATTCACAGACTTTAGAACTTCTTACTACTGAAAAATGTCACTTAAAAAACTATTTATAATTTGATCTTTCAATTGCAAGAGATATGTTGTAAAAATGTTTTTTTCCCTGCTCCCAGTAGATCAGAAGAAATTTTCGAAAACTCTTAGATAAATAAATCTTAGATACTATAAAATATGGGCAAACCCTAAATTAAATATGCCTATTAGAGGCAAGTGACAATTATTATTTGCAGTTTGTGTAAAGCATTCAAATGAACATTCTCCGATCATGAATGTATGAGATCAAAAGACTGTAGTCTGTGTGTAGATGCAGCCTTAAAATAACTCAAAGGTCACTGAAGTCAAAACTAATCCTGGAGTTTGAGTTAGATTATTATTGGTGTTGGCCACTTAGGGACTTTCACCCAAGCCACAAATATTAGCTCCACTGGTTTCCATGGTTTCTTCATTTCCAGTGGTGACTGAAACACTGAATGCAGTTGACAGACATTTCGAAGGTGCAGCCAATGTGAGCGCGAGCATTATTATCTGAGCTCCTTGTGCAGGGGAAAAAGGACGCCGCAGAGAGTTCAAGAAATCTTTACTAAACATTTGGAACGTTAAGTCAGACCAGTGCGCTGCCAGGAAGAGTGTGTTTGCAGACATGTACAAGCTAACCAATAATTTGTAGCGGAAAGTCAGACAGGATGACAGAGCGAGGGTTTGGAAAAGAACATCTCAGTCTACTCCCTCTAAGGGGGGGAATTATCTTTTTACTTTTATTGCCTGTCCAATAATTTCTGCTGTAATTTCTACTTGAGTGTAATTATAAGCGTGATTATGAACCGTCTCTAAAGGGTTTCAGCGTGCACGTGTATATTTTCTTCTTTTGTGTGTCATCTGTGTCGTGTTTCTCAGGAAGCACACTGAAACTTTGTTGATTTGTTGGTTATTTTTTAATTACTTATCCAGGTGGTTCTCCAGTTTTAGCTCCCAAGAGTAATGCAGCCCCATCAGAGAAGAGCTCAGTTCCTCTCAAAGTCAACCTCCTGCAGTTCAGGAAGAACGTTTCTGACCTCAGGATGCAACTCCATCAGATGAGACAGCTGCAGGCAAGACCTCTCTGTCCTTTTAATTGATTTGGACTGTTGTCGTGTCTGTTTATAGTCATCCACCTGTGTGCATGCATGTGAAAAAAAAAAACAGCATGCATCTGTATGACACTTTAAAAAGCCGCGTATGTAGGTTTTGCTAGTGTGGATTCCTCTAATATCTCATTCCACTGTGTTGTATCCTCTCAGCTCCAGAACCAGGAGGCATTACGGGTGCAGCTGAAGCGTGCAGAGCAGGAAATCAGTATTAAACTGGCAGAGGCCATGCGGCGTCTGGAGGACCCTGTCCAGAGGCAGAGAGCTTTGGTGGAAGAAGACAGGCACAAGTACTTGGGTCTGGAGGAGCGTGTCCTCACACAGCTCAGGTAAGAAGTCACAGATTTACTGTTGCGTTTTAGTTTTAGTCCAAAATGGATAGATATGGTTGTTTGCATTCATTACTGAATGCCTATTGTAAATGGTTTGTCCTTTCTATAAAGTTTTGCACTCGATTTAATACACTCCCATGCGGCTCCCGTCTGGGTACTCCCATTTATAGGGAATCCACAAAAGGCTTCATTTTTATCAGCTCACCTGAGCTATTCAATCCTAAACTCTTTGACAAGCCAACACCCTCCAAATTACAGCCTCGCAGGTTTATACAGGCAAGCAGCGCCTGCCTCTCAGAGACAGCAGTCTAGAACAATGGGCCTAACTGTGGAGTAATTACTCACTACCCTGCTCTTATTTTAATTCACTGGCCTCATCTTGCCAACAGGGAGCAGTAATTAAATCCTTTCTTTATTTGGATATTTACAGGGAAGGTCAAACCGTGTTGTCTTGCTAGACATTGGCGAACATATGCTCTAATAAACACGATGATAGCAGCTCATAGATTCTTCGGGAATGAACAGGCAGGAGACAGTGGATTGGAACTAGATTAAGCTCTCTGTTAGCCTTGGTATCCGGTCGTTTGTGAGTCAGCAAAACATGGCCGCTGGCACCTTAAATAAGGCCCGGTAATTAGGGCTGCTTGGCTTTAAGACCGGTGGGACAATGTGTTGTGAAAAGCACTGGCCTCTCAGGAGGAGAAGTAAATCTATCATGACCTGTAAGGGCACACTTTGTTACATTTTATAGCAAAAAAAAAAAAAAAAAGGTTCAGTGGTTAGAATTTGGAAACTGGTAGTACAAAAGAACAGAGCTACCTGAAGAAGCTTTAAATAGGATGCTTTGTCATCGTCAGGGGACAGTATTGATGATGGTGACAAAGCTTCCACGGAGCAAAAATACAGAACATTTATCCTGCTAGTGTGCTGCTAACTTATCCGCAAGTCAGTTTTTATCTCATCAAGCTGTTCTCATTATAAGCCTGTGACCCCATAGTTTCCGCTGATAACAGTAATTTACATTATATGAAGGGAAATGTGAAAATGATTGCTCCAGCAAATGTAATCTAAAGTGGTTAATTAGGGTGTATTTAACACACAGAGATGCACATTACGTGAAACATACTTTTTTTTTTTTTTTAAAATCTGGGTGAGGCTTGATTAAACAAAAAAGAAAATCAGTTTTCTTTGTCCTCCGCTGGAATTTCCATCATTCCAACAGGCCCTGGCATAGCAGGGCATTTAACACACCGTTCTCCTTATTGCCTTTCCCGCTCCCTTTTGGGGACTCGCCATGAAAGAGGGTTTCTCAAGGGTACCTGGCCACAATGAAACACCATTTTAGTTCCTCTCATGCAATCCAACACTGCACACAATGTTATCATTTGACACATTTCCCCTCGGAATAGCTGGCTTTCTCCAGCGCCAGGACGGTTCTGAGGAGCCGTGATATGTTTTCTATGTGAGGAAGTGCTCTCTCACACAAATAAGCCCGCATTCAGTGTGTAAACATTTGTGGTTTGGGATAAGACCCAGGCAAGTCTATACTAAGCAGTCCAGTGTAGACAGGAGAGTGAACTGCATAGAGGAGATGTTTATTCTCGGTCTCGTGTATATATTTCAATGTGATGTACGTTTTTCACTTTTTTATGCATCACATCCTAAAGTTTGCTCTCACCTTTGCTCCATCGGTGTATGATCTTTTAGATAAATGATTGTGTCCTGCCCCCTGGTGTTTGTGAAGAGTAATAATAATCTTAGACAAGCCAAGCAGACAAATATCAGACAAAAATACATCAAAACATGAGTTTCAATTGATTTTTCATTTCCACTGTTGGACACATCATTATATATTAATTAGTTCCAAGTTGTAAATAAGCATCTTTCTTCAACTCCATATTTTTTTGGTCCTTTCTCCTGTCTGTGCAGTGACCTGGAGCAGTTTGTAGGTTCTCTGCAGAAGGACTCGGCAACAACACACAGAGTGGTGACTCTGAAAGACGTGGAAGAGGGAGCGGTAACTCTGAGGAAGGTGGGAGAGTCTCTGGCAGGGCTCAAAGGTACGATGGCAGACAATGTTCTTTCTACTGAGACCACGAATTGTTGAATCAAGTAGTTAATATAAACTAGTGGGTCATACAAAGGCAGTAATTTGTGGTTGGGTTCTTCTAAGTTGTTGTCTTATTTAAACAGCAGACTATATATGATATTAAACTCTAGAATTACATGGTTGAAATTTTATCCAAGGCAAAATTACACAAAGCTCTTGATACCTTTACAACATGGACTTAGATAATTAGTTTTGGCAATTTTTCGTTAAATCATTACCCTAAATTATTATTTCGGATGTAGTTTTTCTAAAGTTGACATTTATGATACAAGATTTAACAGAATTTCAGAATCAGAATCCTTTAATGTCATTAGACCAAAAAAGTACAAAAAAATTGGGTGAAATCCCACTCAGTGCAATGAACAACTATAATTTATAAATTACCAGACAACTGTGCAAGATAAAAACAAGACCTTTGGAGAGCCTAGAGATGTATATAAAAAATAAATACTGACATTAACCTGCATGATGAATAAAACTTAACTTGAACTGTAGTGTCTTTTAAGAGACTATGTCAGTATTTAGTTATTCAATACATTTTTCCAAAGGTACTAATGTATTCTAAATTTTTGTTTTATTTAAATAACATACTGACACTTTGATTATATCTGATGATAAACTCTACGGATATATATAAAAAAAAAAATTGTGAATTGTGAAAACAAGGACTTAAACATCAAGGTTTGCAATTTTTTTTATTGTCAAATCATGACTTTAAAGTATTATTTTGGACAAAGTTTGTCAACAGTTTACATTTATGATATAAGATTTAACAGATTTAGATTAGCCCAGGCTCTAAACTATTATGTTCTTAGGGACTATGTCTGTATTTAGCTCCTAAATAAATTCTATATAATTTTTAACAAAGGCATTAATGCAACCTGTTGAATGAGTATTGGGGGACACAGTGCCTTTACATATTGGCAGCCTGTAAACATCACTGACATGAGCGTGTTATTCAGAGGCCTTTTCACATAAAAGACAGTGTCGCTAGCTATAAAATAGCACTTACACAATCAGAAGAAAAATGAAAATGTTCAGAAATATTAAATTTTTGCACATATCCCTCCGTGTTTTTCTTCAGGAGAGTTTCCGGCCCTGCAAACCAGAATGCGGGCTGTACTCAGGGTGGAAGTGGAAGCTGTCAAGTTTTTGAAGGAGGAGCCTCATAAACTGGACAGCATGCTGAAAAGGGTCAAAAGCCTGACTGATACACTCAGCGGTCTTAGAAGGTAGGGGGGGGAAATGTTTGAGAGAAAAAAAAAATGTCAATGGAGATAAAGTAGAGATCAGAAGAAGTGGTGCTTGGAGTATTGGAGGCTGAGTGTGAGAGAGTGGGAATTGGAGATGAAAACAAAAAGCACTTTGCAGGGCTCCTCACAGGGGTCTGTGATGTGGGAGATTGTAGTGTTTGATTACACTGGCAAGCCAGCCTTCATCCCATCAAAGAGGTCATTCCGTGTGGACAGAAGAGTGTGGCGTCCAGCTTGATTTACTTCCATCACCTTCACTGAACCGATAAGTGAATTAATTTGGTGGACACTGCGGCGCCTCATTTCCATTTTAATATGTGACAGACACCAAACTCACTCTCGACTTTTCCCTCACTCTGCCTGCATGACTCTTTTACCCAAGACATGCCCTGTTGCCAAACCATAAACCATCGTAGATTTTTCATGTCAGCAGTTCATCAGCATAACTTGTCATCTTTATTATAGGGTTTGATGTATTCTTAATCTTGATAACATTTCAAAAAGACTATAAATCCTCATTTTAGTTGTATGTAAATAAAGGTGATTTGTAAAAGGGTGACCTAGTGTTGTTATTTTCATGCAAACAAAGCATTTGTGTTTTCCACATGATTTGATCACAGATTGTGTCCCTTCATTCTGCAGAAGTGCCACTGAGTTTTCTCAGAAGGGACCTGATCCTTCCACTGCTGTCTCAGTGGAAAACAGCCCTGTAGCAGCAGCAGCAGCAGCAGAAGCCCCTGCAGAATCAGCCCCACCCGAGCCCCAGAGCTCCACCATCAGATCTGAGGTGATGCCTTCCTCCCCAGTGGTCATCCATCATGTCCAGAGCTCCCCAGTCCACATGCAGCAGTCCCAGCAGTCTGCGGCCTTGACAGCTCAGCCCAGTCCCCCGCTCACCCCCAGCCCCACTCACATCTCCAGTCCCAACCTGAGCAAAAGTCAAGGCCGGGAATCTCCCAAAGCGGCAGCCTCGGATCCACCGAGTCCCGCCCGCCATAAGAAGACTCACGGGAACCCGGTGAATAATGGAAACGGCACTGCCAACCAGGATCTTGTCATAGAGGAGCTCCAGAACAATCAGGGCAAGAGCAAAAGCAGAGCTATGTCCATCGAGGTAGGTCGCAGTTAATTTCTTTAGTTGTTCTAGGAATGACAGATCTTCATTGAGTTGTCTTAGAATCTGAGAAGCTGTTGGGAACTTTTCCTGACTTTATGTGTTCTTCTCTGCAACTCACAGGCAGCAGAGAAGGAGTGGGAGGAGAGGAGGCAGAACATGGGTCATTATGATGGAAAGGAGTTTGAGAAGATCCTCCAAGAGGCCCAGGCCAACATGATGAAGGGAATTCCAAATCTAGAGGTGGATGAGAACTCAGCACTGCCCCCTGCTGCAACTGCAGAACAAGAAGTCATCCACAACCCTGCCGAGTCACCATCAGGTACAAATCGAACACAAATGTAACTTCAAGACACAAACGTGTCCTTTTTGTTGCTTTAGCAACACACTTTAACTTTGTCTTTTATATACTTTAACTGATCTTTATGACAGAAGAGCCCCAATCAGAGCCTCAGTCAGACAAACCAGCCAAGAAGGGGCCTGAGAAACTCCCCAAGCCTCTGATGGAGAAACCTGCCAAGCCAGCACTGGAGAGACCCTCCAAAACTGCCATCAGGCCAGCAGCCCCTGACAGTCTGACCAGGCAGGGGTCCGACAAGGCGAGCAAGTCACCACCTCCACCTCCTCCACGGAAAACCTACCCCAGCTCTAGCTCAGGCATGACCACCACACGCTCTGGTGAGGTGGTCTACACCAACAGGAAGGAGTCCGTCTCAGCTCAGGTCAGTAAAGCGAGAGGTTGCGCTTCTTTTCTAAGTCTCTGAACACCAAATCATTTCTGGGTCTTTTTTGCTTCTGTGACATTTGTACTCACTGTGGGCTCATTTTTCTCCTGTCCTGCACCTCTATGGAAACAGCACAACAATGGCTAGACACAGCGAGAACTCAAAGGTGTCTTCTGTGCAGCATAGCACAATTAAAATGCCAGAGATCACAAAAAAAGAAAATACAAACTCAAGTTGAATTTCTGTGATAATTAATTTTACTGAGATTTTTTGAGAAATCAATATGTTCAACATTTTTCCAAGGGCCCGAAGATGTTACAATAATGGAGGAAATGAGTACCCCGTGTAGTATTGATATTTTTACTACTATCTCGTGTGTGTGTTGTGTAAACACAGCCTGCTGTTCAGCCAAAAAGTTGCTGATCACAGCTCAGGCACTCATAGCCTCAAGGTTGTGCCACAGAGTGCATCTTTTTTTTAATTTTAACAGGGTCTGGTTAAAGCCAATGGTGTTTTTTGGGGGCTTTTTTGGTAAATTTTTAAATGACACATGTATGCAAAAGTGATTTTAATGAAATATGATTTGGTCAAGTTTTTTGACCATGAAAAAGTTTTAAATTCTATGATTCTAACTGTTTTTACAGTTTCTTTGCTCTGACAAATGGTGTCAAAAGTTAAATCTGTCCTTATGGTAAATTTATATTAAAGTGATGCTAATGCTATAATCTAGGTCCTACCTCTTTTTTGAATCTGAGTCTTTACAGCAGTTGTCTTAACTTTTCAGTATTGCTTAATCCACTTTTAAAAGTAATGACAAAATATTATTTATTGCATTATTTGTCACAGGAGGGTGAAGAGGAGGCTCCACCTCCGTCTCCCCAACCGAAGCCCACCAAGGTTCCACCGGAGACCAAGCCGAAGCCAGCCACCCCTCCTCCTGTCACCGCCTCTGTCACCAGAGAAGAGGAGGATGAAGGCGACAAGATCATGGCGGAGCTTCAGGTTAGATGCATAATGCACACGCAAGCTCTCACACTGATACACATTCCCTCCAACGTGCACAAACACACAGAGGTCTGCTTGATTTGATTGATTTCTGCATTGTGGGAGTGGGTTGCTTGTTGTTTTTTTTCCCTTCCTGCGGTGATTGATTTCCTCAAAAGTGGGAAAGGATGGGCACTGAGTTACCTCCTTGAACCATTTTGCTACGTGTAGGGGGTTTTTACAGCTGTGGCAGTGGTCAAGACACTCAAACTTCTTCCCTCCTCAAAATCCTTGCCCCCATGTCCCTCCCCTCACTTCTCTCCACTCCTCAGGTTTTCCAGAAGTGCACAGTTAAGGATGTAGGGCTGAAAAATTTGGTAGAGCCCACCCCTCGAATTGAACCGCAAATCAGAGAACTAAGACCGGGGGCTTTATTACCCCTCAAAGAGAAAAAGGTAAAATATGCATCGCCGTACAGCTGCCCAGCTAACTGCCTGCCTCTGCCAACTGTATGATACAATCAATGGCTGTGTCTTAACACTTCTACAACTTCTGCATTCTTGCTTTGGCTCGAGAGAAACCTGTAGCAGCTTCCTCCAAAAAAAAAAACAAAAAAAAACGCTCCTTTCCTTGCTGCCCCTCGTTTTTTCTTCCCTCTTTTGATTCTGCTGGATATCACAGCTTGGATATTTTTCCGGGATTAAGTCTGCATAAAATTAAGCCTCTGAAAAGATGCTGTGTCTTCTTGTATGTCTGGTCCACACGATGCTGTGTTTCACAACTAATTTAACCATCACTTGTCTTTTCCTCCAAATCAATAAAGACCTGTAGCTTACAGGCAACTAAATCGTCTTGTGTCTTTCTTCTTTCAAAATCAACGGAACACGTATTTTCTTCAACGATTGACAATTGAGAGAGACAACACAGTTAAAACTCACTTGGTAGACACAACCTATTTTTGCAGACTTGGTTCACTTAGAGGTCAGTCTGGCCACTTTGCATGCTCCTCTCCCTCACTTGTACTTTCCTGAGGAATCACTTTTCTGTTTCTCTTTGTCTTTGCACCACTTCACCTCAATTTGCTTTTCCCAGCTTCACACCCACGTACCAAGCACAACCCTTTAATATTTTGGCATTGAAGAAGACGACACACATTTAGTATGATTTCAGCAGTCAGTGTGACAAAGAAAATACGTATGATCAAGTGTGATGTAAGTATCAGTGAAGCCAATTACAGTGCCACAAGGGTGTGCTGGTGATTACTGTAAATAATACAACGTTAACCCTCTGCACTCCAACAGTTTCTGGGCATATTTTGCTCCTAATGATAGAAACACAACCTGCAGTTCAGCCTTATTCAGCTAAAGAGTCTCATATTTAGTTTTATGTGACGTTTGGGCGCAGCTGTGTTGCTAATGGTTTTACATTTGTGCCGAGGAGCACAGAATTTATCATTTTTTTACCCAAAATCGGGAAAAAAAAAACAATATGTTTGGGGAAAATTAAAAAAGGAGTCCAGAAAAAAAAAATGATGATGAAAAAACATCATGTTTTTGTGGTTGTTGTTTTTTGATAGAAACATCAGAAAATTTAAACTCTAGCAAGTCTTTCTGTTTATACAGTTTCCAGCTCTGACAAATAGTATCATTTTGACATGCCTTTCAAAACCACCGGCAGGTTTTGGGGTTCAGAGGGTTAAAGATTGCACATTATGTAATGTTTCTGAAAATTTGGCCTGAACATTTCACGGACAAAGACGTACAGTCATTCATCAACAGTGCATACTGTGTGAAGCAGATAAAACACTGGGTGTATAATAAAATGCAGTTGGTAGAAACCACGAAATTATTCATTTTGTAGAAACAAAGGCAATCACTTTTTTTTGTATCGTCAATTTTTGGATGTGCAAATCAGAAAAGCTGAATGAATTCATCCATGAATAACTTAAAATTTTAGCTGATCTGGCAGTCATAAAATAAAGTGGCTTATAGTCTTAGCTTTTAAAAGAATATATAAAATCTATTCATTTGTCCTGCATGCAGGTTTTTTGTTTTTTTTTTATTATTTTTTTACAGCATTTAGTGTCAGGACAGCATGACATAATATGTTACGACAATTAAACAAGTCTAAGCAGCAGCGACTGTCAATATTTTGCCTCGTAGAAAGTAACTGGACAGTCCAGATTTGACACCCTGGATGCTTCCGCAGTCAAATATGTAAATTAAGAGTTAATCCGCCACAACCTGGCACACCAGTCGCACAGTAATATTATTCCCTCACACACTGTTCTAGCAGAGCTCAGAGCCCAGTCGAGAGGATAAAGATCCAGACACAGATGAAAATGGGAATACGACTGTTCGACAGAGCCAAGGGGTATGTATGACTTAGCATTTCTTTCACTATATTCAGATATATTTAATTTATATTTTAGAGTTTTAAAATAATGACGGATTTCAAAATTTCACTCTCACAGGTAATATATTATGTGACTGGCCAGATTCCCAAAGATCATCCACCCCCACCGGGAATGGAAGACACCCCAGAACACAGAGAGCCCACACAGCCTCCAACACAGGTGTCAAATGTCAATGTTAATGACAATTCTTCAAGCCAGCAACAGCAGCAGCAGCAGAAGCCACCACCTCTGTCTCCACCACCCAAATCACCTGTAACGCCTCCGCCTATTTCACCCAAACCTGTGGGACTGAACGGATTCAAACTGCCAAGGAAGCCCGTTAAACGCTCTGAATCTTTGAAGACTAGTACAGAAATGCAGAAGGGAAAAATCCTCAACAAAGTGAACACAGAAAAGAAAAGTAAAGTCACCCAGGAGAAGGTTTCCTCTAGTAAGAATAAAATACCTGAGCCAGTGGTGACCACAACAACCAGCGCAGTAAAAGAGGCACCCAAACGTTCTGTTGCTCCACCCACAAAGACTTCTAGTGTGGAAAGTGACAGTGATGATGGGGCTAGTCTTTGTCCTGACCAACCTGAGGAAGAGGCACCTCCACCCCCAGACAACATTGCATTTATGATCACCAACACCAAAGTTCAGGCTTTGTCTTGTGGCGAGTACCAAGAACTGGTCAATGCCAAGAAAGGAAGCGTCCAGACTGTTACCGTAGGCAACGCAGCAAACCGAGCGAACACCACAGCGGATCCATCCGTGCCGCAGGATAATGGCTTCAACAAGAAGCCTGTCATCATCATCTTTGACGAACCGATGGACATCCGTTCAGCTTATAAGCGCCTGTCCACCATCTTTGAATGTGAGGAGGAACTGGATAGGATGCTTGCACAAGAGCGCATCGAAGAGGAGAGTGAGGAGTCGGATACAGAGAAGAGTAGTGGGCTGCCAGCAAAAACTGGAGGAACCTCAGTGGTTGATGGCAAAAAGGCAACCAATTCACAGGGCACTGTCGATCACGTCAGCTTATCGTCCTCATCTTCATCCTCAATATCTGAACTAACAGACAGTGGAGTAAACTTAGATTCAAATGGAGATACCAAGCAGGATGGTAAGAAGAAGTTCAAGTTCAAATTCCCTAAGAAACAGCTGGCAGCACTGACACAGGCAATTCGCACGGGCACCAAGTCAGGCAAGAAGACTCTACAGGTGGTCGTGTATGAAGATGAGGAAGAATCTGACGGGACTATCAGGCAGCACAAAGAAGCAAAGAGATTTGAGATTGCACGCTCGAAAGCCTTAGCAGAAACCCCCAAGGGAACAGGCACCTCCGCACTGAAGAAGCAGAACTCCGACACCCACTGCAGGACAGATGAGATTCGGAAGAACACCTACAAGACACTGGACAGCCTGGAGCAGACCATCAAGCAACTGGAGACCACTATTAGTGAGATGGGACCGCGCTCCCCCGAGGAGCCAGTCGGCCCTGAGGAGGCAGAAGCAGGGAATGGGAAAAGCTCAGAAGGAGTGGGGCTGAAGAGGTCTTCCTCTCTCCCTACCTCCAGAGGGCATGGCCCAAAGGTAGCCAGCAAAAATTCATTGCAGAAGAAGTCAAAACCTCAGCTGCTTCCTCGCCCTGTAGTCGTCCCTTCTACCACCAACACCACCACCACCACCACCGCCACCACTACTGTCCCCAGCACCGTACAACAGGTCTCTCTTTAGCTCTTGTTGCTCCAGGAGGCTTTTGGGTCCTTCTCTTTCAGTTTCCAACCTACCTTCACTCCAACCCTAACCACTGAAATTACAAAATCATTAATCCACTCCACAGGTGCTTGGAAATGTTGGAAATGTCCCCAAATGGCTTTCTGCCTCTATTAAATCATGCTGATCATGATTGGGGGTGGCATTTTGTTGGGCTCCTGGCTACCATCTTTCTCCTTCAGTTCATTGCTAAAACTCTAAGGTTTTCAGCAAGTGGCACAACCATCATCAAAGACACTGTCATGATGATTAAGCTCTGATTACTTCCTTATTCTTGACTGCATGTACTATGTATAATGACTTTGTGGTCCCACTTGGTGCATGATCTTTCACTGGTGTTCATTGTTGAGGTGTTAAATGAACAAGGGTTTTTTTTGTTTGTTTTTTTTTTTTATCCTGTAAGTGCCTTGACTTTTCATACTTCCTATGTGGTGTGTGTTTTTTTTCTATCTTTTTTTTATTTCTTGTTTTGTTTTTCATTTGGATCCCCTTGCAGAATACGAGTGTCGCTTCCCCTACTAGTCGGATGCCCGTCCCTTTATCCGCGAAGTCCAGGCAGTCACCGGGTACAACCGACAAAGCAGGAAAACAACAAAAACTGCAGGACGCTCAGAGGCAGTTCCGACAGGTAGTTTTACTGTAGGGTCTTACCAGAGACTAGAGGAACAAACGTATAGGAAATCAAAAGCATGAGGCATTTAAAGGGGAAAAAAAAAGACTACCAAAGCTGTGAGATTTCAAGTGTTTGAAAAAAAATAAAGTCACCGCGGTGGCGACTGTGGATCTGTTAATGTTTCTCTCGAGTCTGCTCTGACACGAAGGCATGTTTGACTCTTGACTGTTACCCCATAACATCACTGTACTGTATGCTTCTGCATGTCCACACTGCTCATGGTTTTCACTGTGTTGGTGGCTATACAAAAAAAAAAAATGGAGAAAAAAAGGCAAAGAAAAGCGGAATCCTATCCCGTCATCATCTGAGTTGTCATCACATCTCCAGTTCCCATCACAGCTGAGTTCCTAAACAGTGTTGCCAAACCCTAAGACGCTTATGGCTATGTTCAAATACAAACTAAACCGACTTTTCGCCTATGCTCCTCCCTTCTCACAACGCACCTCTGCTCAAACCCAACATCACTGCACCAGCTTACTTAACCCCACAGTGATATATTTCCTTACCGTCAAGACCTCGGCATAACCCACCCATCTTGCACCACCAGTTTCACTGGAACACTGGCCCACATTTCCCCTGTCTGCTGTCACACTTCAAACTCCCTAACCCCGTTTTCTGATTCTCTCCAGCCGTCTTGTGAACATTTGCCTTCTGAATTTTCTCCCCACAGCCCCCCTCACAAGCCCTAACAGCCTTCTAACTCACAGGCACTCTGTAAAGATGCCCACCCTGTCTGCCATCGCCCTGTCTAACCTTTTGCATCGTTCTGTTTCTTGGTAACAAGTCTCTCAGTTCAATATGTCTCACCTTCCATGTAGTAAAAAAAAAGAGCTTCTGTAAATGTTTTTGGTGTCTTTTAGTTGTGTCTTAGTGATATTAATGTTTGCGTGTCTCTGTGAATAACTTGTAGTTTTATTTAACATCGTCTTGCCTTTTACATGTGTTATTTTACCAGTTTTTCTTTTTTGACAACCAGTATCTGTTTTGGCATCTCTGTTTGCAGGCTAACGGAAGTGCTAAAAGAGTGGGAGGGGATCATAAAACAACTTCCCCCACTATACCCATCTCTAAAATCCCTGCTTTTTATCCTAGCTCTACTAAAGGCAGCTCCCAGTCTGCACCAAACTCAGATGCTACTAATCCCATTAACCCTTCTTCCTCCTCCTCCTCCTCCTCCTCCTCTTCCTCCTCTGTGACAAAGTCCTCCATGCTGTCCTCTCGTTCCGGTTCCCTGCCCTCCTCCCACATCCCCTCCCTGTCTAACGGATCCCTCAAACTGCCCTCACAGCACACAGGTAAAGCTCTCTCGTTCTCCTCGCAGACCCCCAACGGTCGAGTGCACTCCTCCTCCTCCTCTTCATTCTCCTCCTCCTCCTCCTCATGCTCCTCCTCCTCCCCCTCCCCTCTGTCGCCCACACCTTTGGGCCCAGGTGGAAAGAGCATCCGCACCATACACACCCCCAGCTTCACCAGCTACAGGTCCCACAACGGCAGCAGCGGCAAATCCTGCATCCCAACAGCCACAGCAGCTAAGGACTCTACTTAGTACCATTATCGCCCCTCTGGCATTACCACATAGCAGGTAGACCTTGGTCATGTTTTGTATTATATTGTTTTTTTTGTTTGTTTTTTTTTTCTTCTCTTTTTGAACGTTTTTGTAAAAGTATTAAGTGATGCACTCCCTCGACTCATCTTTTATTTGACACTGGCATTCACACACCGCTACTTCTGTCTCCTTTTGAGTTCATTTTCAAATTTTACATCATACTTACTTGGATTTTGATTCTCTCTTGAAGGTGTAACAGAAAATATTTTGTAATGTAACTAAAAAAAAAAAAAACTATTTAGTTTCGCCACTTTGTAGCTGAAGTGGAAGGCGTTCATGTTGAAAATATATTTTCTTGCTGTAGCTATGAATAGGGAATTTAGAGTTGATGTACAATCACAAAATACCATGTACAAATTGTGTTTTATTTTTTGAAACGACAGATTGAATAACCATAGTATATTTAATCTTCTATATTTCTTATGTTGCCAGACATTCAACACAGCCCTTGTAAATGCCTTTTATGAACGTATACGCGACGTATACACACACATTTAAACATACGTAACTTTAGTTTTCTAAGAGTATTTTCTCATTCTCCACCCATTGGAACTGCCAATTTATTTTACAGATGTGCAACTGGTATCATGAGTAATACAAGTTTTCATTTTATTGTGCCTATTTGCCAAAGTTGTTGTATAATGACTCACTTCAGGCCTAACCCAGTCATGAGCTTTAGGGGAATTTACATGCACTCTCTTGGTGTGATGGCTGAAGTGTTGACCGCAGTGTTTGTACTGCTGGTCTCGGTTTGTTAAGTTAACATGTATTGTTGTCTAAATGTAATCTGTACTAAAACAAAGTGATAAATCTGTCTACCGTGTACATAAATGCTTCTACTAAGAAAAATAAGTAGTTTTGTTAACATACCAAAGTTTATTTGTATGCATGCCTTTCAGATACTTTAGGAGAGTGGTGTAAAAGAAGAATCATGTTTGCACAGATAGATTTTTGTAAATATTTGTTGTTTTTTTTCTCCTCTTCTCATTTTTTTTGTAAAGCTTTAAATCATACTATAAAGGAGCAATGTGGTAAAGACAAAACTGTGTTGGAGTAGCAAAAAAATAAAGACTTGCATGCTTGTAGTGCATTGACCTTCAGTGTTCTGACATTTTGTTTCTGGTTTCCTGTTTAATTCCTGCGCATTTGCTCTATGTGACAGTGAGTTTGTGGGTGTGTGTGTGTGTGTGTGTTTGTGCGCTTGCGTGTGTGTGTGTGTATATAAATACAAAAGTGGATATGCACCACACAACAGTTCACAAGTCCTACTTCCTTTTCACCTGTTGGCTAGTGACTTCCACTGGTAGTAGATATATCTTTTTTTTTTTTCTGCGATCTGTAACGCTACAATTACAGGTAAGAATGTGATTAATGATCATTAATATAATGCATTATATTACATTATTAGATTTTAAGGTACAGTGACTAGTGGTGCTTAGAATATAACTTCTGCTTCGTCACTATTTTGTATGTCTGAGTGTTTTAAGTAAACGCCTACATTTCTTCTATTGACTGCCACGGAGTTATGCTTTGCCAGTCATTGTTTGAAATCAAATGCCAAAGCCAGTAACTTGGGTTTAATGGAAGTATCATTACATTTAATTACACTGACGCAGCTTGGTGATTGCTCAACTAAATGCACAGGATGGTGAATTTTGCATTTCATCACAGCAATATACAGTAAAAGGAAGGAAAACTACAACTATCAGATTGTTTGAAAGAAAATAGGAAGATGCTTTTTTTGCTAAATGTATCTGACAGTATACAAAAACACATCGTTTACATCCTTAATCTAATTTTCAGCTGTGTTATTTGTACCTTATTAATGTTTTTGTTTAATATATTTATGTCTTATCTGATCAATATTTTTTACCTCAGCTTTTTGCCGTTAATCTATTTCTGGTAAAAAAAAAAAAAAAGTAATCCGTTGTTACAATGACGTCTGGTGAGGAGAGTTCTTCTTTCTAATCAGTCTCATTTACACATGATATTGCATGTGATTTGGTGTTGTCAAGTCATATTTTGATCACATACAGCTTACAGTTTTAGTTTTGTTTTGATATATCAAAGTATGCTTTGGTAAGTCACGTAAAAATCTTGTGACCACAGCCTTCTGTGACATCATGCCACCAAGTCAAAATCAGATGTGAAAGCTGCGACTTGCCTCGCCACAGTGTCCTAAATTGGAACTGAGATGTCTGCTCAGGTTTGCCTACAACGGGGTGTTAATGATCATAACAGAATATTTGTGTCTAATTTGTGCTGCACCAGGCGGATCCTCTCCACAGCAACTATGAACATTTCTGAGGAAGAAAGCGAGGGCTTCCATGACACCACTGTGGCACTTTGGAATATTATCCTTTCCACATTTTACATCCTGATTTTCGTCATCGCTGTGCCTGGGAATGCCTTGGCGCTGTGGGCCTTCTTTCACCAGAAGAGCACGTCTCCATCTAAGGTGTTCCTGAGGAATCTGGCTTTGGCTGACATCTTTTATGTCCTCATTTTGCCCATGCGTATAGTTTACCACCTGTCTGACAGCCACTGGCCCTTTGGACATATCCTCTGTAAACTGTCAGGCTTCCTGTTCTATCTAAACATGTACTGCAGCCTCTACTTAATGAGTTTCATCAGCCTGGACAGATTCCTGGCTGTGGTTGTACCTATAAGATCACAATCAATTAGGAAGCCTGTGTATGCAAATGTAGCTGTTGGCATACTTTGGGTGACAGTTATCATCTCCATGATTCCTACACTGTTCTCCAAACAGGACTCGACCAACTTCTCTGGCACCTGCGCCAAACTGTACTTAGAAACGACATCTCCCACAGCTTTGGTTTCCACTATTGTGGCATTTGCTATTCCCCTGACTACCATAGTGGTTTCTTACATACTGATTCTGCTGAAACTGAGGACAGTCAAACAACAGGAGCAACGACCGGTGAAAGACAAAGCTGTAAAAATGATCATACTCATTGTGATGAACTTCCTGCTCGCATTTGTGCCGTACCATGTGTGCAGGATAATCTACATTAAAAGTCACAATGCCGACCATATTACTGCAGCGAGCCTTGAGTCACTGGGAAGAGCCAATCAGATCACATCTGCGTTGACCTGCGTTAGTGGTGTGCTGGATCCTGTGATGTACTTCTTCTTGAATCGTGCATACAAGGACACATTTCTCAAGCTGTTCTGTAGAAATAGAGAGCGTGATCAATAAACAACAAATATGTAAACAATAAAAGATTTTCAAACAAGCTGTCCTCTTTGTGTGTCATTTTAGAGAGTTGATGGACATCTGATCTGAAATTCGTGGGCCTAAAACATCATGAAATACACTAGATGGAGGGGGGAAAAAGTGTTAATTTCCTGTATTTATCATGCATCCTGTTCAGCTTTTCATTCTACTGGGGGTCATCAGTGTGTATTAGAAGAACCACAATAGAACAAACACCGAGTGTTGGATACCTAATGTGTATAATGTGATAACAGTAGTTTCACCAGCACGAAGGATAAAAACCTCCTATTTGTGTTAGTGGGTGTAATATTTCTTGTGAGCGTTCATTGCATAACCGAAACATCAAAGCCAGACAACATTTGAACTTCTGCTTCTAGTTGCTATAAATGCTGTACAAAAGGCATGTGAACAATGATGACTGCTATCTGACTATTTCTCAACTTCCTGAAGAAGCGAAACCCACTTGTCACTGCTGGCAAACTTGCAGACATTATCAGCAACACTTCTGTGACATCATGCCACCAAGTCAAAATCAGATGTGAAAGCTGTGACTTGCCTCGCCACAGTGTCCTAAATTGGAAATGAGATGTCTGCTCAGGTTTTGGGAAGTACTGTTCTAAACAACTGTATTCATTAATTATATTTCTTTTAAAAATGTGGATTTTTTTTAATATACACGTCAATGGCTAATGTTTCTAATCGATCAATAGCTTATATACCCACTCTAACAGCTATAAATGTCCTAACTCCATTAAAGAATTCAAAAAACAAAAAAATGTTAATACATATTTTCAAGAAATAGTGACCTTCGCTTATTTTGACTTGTGTGGGCACCCGTATTTTCAACTTGTTGTTACCAAGGCAGCCAGGAAGAAGCTGTGAGGGGAGCGGACCGTGAGTGTACGTCTGTTTGTTTAGCCAACCTTCGTACATTTTCACCAAGACTTGGGGTTTTAGTCAGTATTCTATCAACGCTAAAATATGTACAGAAGTTACTGCGCCATGTTTGTTGTCTTTAAACCAGCAAATGTCACGAATAACGGGTTTAACACCTACGAAACGTTGCGTTAACAAAGCTAACGGAGTACAACTGCATTTGTCGTTAGTTCTCAGATAGGAACACTTTAAGCTAGTTAGCATTCAGTCACTTTTTTGTTGCTAGAGTTGTCAGTGTAATAGTTATGGTCATGTCAGCTGTTGCTTAAGTGGAAGGGGAGTTAGCATTGTGGCTCTAACTAGCTACTTTGAGAAACCAAACAAAGGCTAAGAAATGCCTGTAACAGTTGTTTTCCGTCGTCTAGGTGGATAAAAACTTTCCCATATTTCACACTGTGCACCCCTGTCCCGTTTGTTCTCGCACAGGAGCGGCTATGGGCTTCAGAAAAGGCTGAGGACTTTTCCAGCTTGGGTTGCCACCATGGGCACCGCATCCTCTTTGGTCAGCCCCGGGGAGGTGATTGAGGATGGGTATGGGGGTGAAGGTGGGGAAGCCTGTGAGATACCGGTCGAGGTGAAGCCCAAAGCCCGACTCCTGCGCAGTTCCTTCCGCCGAGGACCACGGGTGATCGGGGCCAGTTTCAAATCCACAGGATCAGTGGATCTGGAGTATGCTGCAGAGTATGAAAGACTCCGTAAAGAGTATGAAATCTTCCGGGTCAGCAAGAATAACGAGATCTCATCTATGCAGAAGAAGGAGGCCAAGCTGGATGAGGAGAACAAGAGGTTGAGGGCTGAGCTACAGGTAAATAATAAATGAACGAGATGTACAGACTCCTGGCTCATCCTAGGACAAGCATATTGGTTACTACTGCTGATTGGATGTTCTTTTATTTCTTTTAATATTCTTTATAATTCTCAATATGACAACAGGCTTTGCAGAAAACCTACCAGAAGATCCTCAGAGAAAAAGAAAGTGCTCTTGAGGCAAAGTACCAAGCTATGGAGAGGGCTGCCACCTTTGAACATGACAGGGACAAAGTAAAACGACAGTTTAAGGTAAACCGCACCACGTATGCTACTGCATAGCATTCTGATCCACACTCATAATTACACTGTTAACCTACCGACCAAATGATCCTCAGATTTTCCGGGAGACAAAAGAAAAGGAGATACAGGACTTGTTGCGGGCTAAAAGGGACTTAGAGGCCAAACTGCAACAGCTGCAGGCTCAGGGCATCCAAGTCTATGATCCAAATGACTCTGATTCAGATGACAATCAAACCACTGTCACTGGTGAGACCCAGAAGAACACAATGTTTGGTCCTTTACTTTATTTTATTCATCCATCAATCTGTTTAGCAGACACACATACGTATTTATTTTCTGTTAGCATGCCTTATATGTAGGAAAACCACTGCATCAATTTATCAACTGTGTGTTTAGCTGCAGGGACCCAGTGTGAGTACTGGACTGGTGGAGTGCTGGGAAGTGAGCCCTCTATGGGCAGCATGATGCAGTTGCAACAGACCTTCAGAGGACCAGAATTTGCACACAGTTTAATAGATGTGGAGGGACCCTTTGCAAACGTGAGCAGAGGTAAGTTATCTTTGACAGGGAGAGTGGGATGAAAGAAGGGATGAATCACAGTGTGTTTTGTTGTAGTCAGGGCAGAAGTATCCATGTCATATGTTTGCCCCACAGCTACAGTGGCTCCAGTAACACTGAAAAAAAGGCTTTCATATGAATTGAGCTCTACATTACCTATTTATTATAGCTCTTTGTTTTGTGTGTCTTTGTGTTTGAGGGTGGGTTTTTCTTTGAAGCAATAATGTGTTGATAATGTGTGTGTGTATCTTTGTCAGATGACTGGGATGCTGCAGTGGCCAGTCTTCTTCAGGTCTCACCTCATGTGCCCCAAGCCTTATGGAGTAACACAGTGCGCTGCTACCTGATCTTTACCCCAGAGACCAAAGCTGAACTGGATATCTTTATTAAGGTTGGTTAGATGGGCACTATAAGTGAATAAATATTTGGTTTTCGTGGGGTATTATGGCACTGCTATTATGCTTTCCACATTTATGAGGCAGTTTTCTTCACATAAAAGTAAAACTGGGGAAGGACTTAGTCTCGTATAGTCAAACTCAGTTTATCTTCAGTTTACCTTTAGAGGGAAAGGGAAGACGTTTGGTTAAGTCAGACTCTGAGAAAACCAATGTGAGCTGATCTGGTTTTAAATGACACTTTTGTTGAGAACTACCTTTAATCCCAAAAACTATGTTTAATATTTTAATCACAGAAACACTCCTCTGTGTTACGGCGAATGTGTGAGGGTCTTGGCCATTTCTACCTGAATGTCTGCTTCCCAGAGGAGAACGCTGCTTCATACACTGTGGAGCGCAAGCAGGAGATTGAAAGGAGTTCTGTGTGTGTACTTCTTCTCAAATCCACAGTCACAAGGTACAGTTGAAGTAAAGATTATACATTAAAGCTATTTTCTATTTAGAAATAGATTTTTTCGCTCTGATATTCATGCTCAATGCATTTGTGCAGCTCTGTGGTGGAGGACTGCGAGGAGGCTTTTGTGAAGAATCCAGATGGCCATCCACTAGTGCTCTACCTGAGAACTGAAGAAGGTCACAATTTGACTGGACCCATCAGGCAACTGCTGGAACGGGTCAATGCTGCAGACAAGGCTGCTAAAATCAAGGTCTGTAAACTGTTAAACTAAACAGGATACAGGGGAGATATTTTACAAATGATCAGAGGTTAGATAAACGCTTAGAGTTAACACAATAGCTTATCTTTTCAAAATGCTGTAAAAGTGCGCTAAATTAATCAATATATCAGAATATATACATGCAGACTCACACAATGCATGTTTAGCAAAACATGTGTGCTTGTTGCCTTTAAATTTGGCTTTCTATACATTCCTGATGCCCAACTCAGCATGTACTGATGTGTTTTGAACATTACATAGGTGGTGGATCATAGTGGCTCTACAGAGGAGGGGGCCAACCTGATATATGCTCAACTAGAGAAAGTCATCAAACAGGTCCCTTTGCAATATCAGTCTTTTCATAAACTCATAATTTTTGACAGGAAGTGTCAAAGTTTTTTTTTTTTAACATTGATTTCTACATTTAGGAGCTGTTGGGTCTTGAAGGAGCAGATGTTGACTCTAAGGACTCTGGGATAGAGGAGGGGCACGAGGAGGACTCAGGAGACGTGCTGTGGGACCTGCATGATGAGCAGGAACAGATTGAGTCTTATCAGCAGGCTTGTAGTAGCACCACCTCACAGTTAGGCTTCCAAAAGGTAGGGCAGATCTTTTCATCTATAATTTGTCCATTCAGCTCTTAAAATCCAATTTTTTTGGTCATTGATTCCACTGACTGTTGTATCTGTCCTTTTCAGTATATAGATCGTTTGAATGATATGATAGCTGCTCCTCCTCCCACACCGCCTCTGCTGGTATCTGGTGGTCCAGGCTCAGGGAAGTCTCTCTTGCTGTCCAAATGGTAAGAACTAATGTCTTCATTCCAGTGCAGTACATCCCATCACTGATGAAATCCTCACAAAGACACTATTGGGTGACGATCAGTGGCGGCTGGTGATAATTTTTGGCGTGGGGGCGCAGTCTACAAATGACCTTTTATTTAAAATCAGAAATTACAATATGAGCAACATCAGGCACAACTATTTACAGGAATGCAAATTGTCTACCTTTGGAGGATATTCTAATCATAATATAATTTAACATTGTCAAGATGTACCAGAACTAAATTTCAAAACCATTCATCAAGCTTTCATCAGTATTTACAGGATCTGTACAAACTCAAAACACACAACATAAATAATGAAAAAAACACTATTCAGGGCTCCAGACTAACTTTTTCACCGGTAGCACCAGTACGACCCACTTTCTCATTTTGTTGCACCTCCCACCTGGTCAAAGGCAAAACATATGACTTGCTGAACATTTTTTTTATCGATAGACGATTTACTGATGCTCCCTGAACGCCCCATATAGCAGGCTGCGGTAGCTGCTGTCTGGTGGCTGTGGTGTGCTTTGACTGGTGTGTGTGACCAAAATGACTTTAAAAATAATAATCTAGGGTGTTCTCATGTCAGATTTGTCTGAGGTTAAACCCAGTTACATGTATTCTACTCGCAGTCTTTTCTCCAGTGACAGCATGACCAATACATTAAGCCATCACAACAGTAGGGGGGCGGCAGCCCTTCGCCCTGTATTAACCAGCTGCCACTGGTGACGATTGTAATCTAAAACCTTTTCTTGAATGTTGGATGAGTAGTTTTCCTAATTTACTTTTAGGCCTGTTTTGTCTTTTCTCAGTTTACTAGTTCTATTGCAAAGGGGCACAAAAACAAAGTAGTAATCATATCATATCGAAGTTGCATCCTTAAAGAAAAATTGTTTCAATCTTGTGCTGTCAGTCATACTATAACGGTGGTGTCAGCTCTTGCTATCGGTGTAATGTGTCTTCATGCAACATTTACGACATTTTGTATGTTTTGTCTGTTTTTCTAATTGCTCTTTAATTCTCTTTAGGATCGAGCTGCAGCAGAAACAATCCCCCAACACCTTGTTCCTTTATCATTTTGTTGGTCGCCCACTTTCCACAAGCTCAGAGCCAGTTCTCATTATCAAACGCCTCACAGTCAAAGTAAGGGGACTCTCTCATTGGCTCTTACATACACTTAATCCCCATCGAGATGCTCTCTGTCTAACTGAACAACTCTTGGAACACGTTTCCTGTCTCCTATTACATAGCTGCTGCAGCACTTCTGGTCCATTTCTGGTTTGTCCATGGAGCCTAGTAAGATCTTGGAGGAGTTTCCCCGCTGGCTTGAAAGACTATCAGCACGACATCAAGGAAACATCATTATCATCATAGACTCCATTGACCAAATACAGGTACCCCCCTCTACTGGGCTATTTTGAACCACATTACACTCTGTATATTTTGTCTCAGTCATGTGTAGAACAATTCTCTCTACTGTATTGTTGTTCCTTTATTCCTCCCACTTTGTCTCCTTTTATTTTAGCAAGCAGAAAGACACATGAAGTGGCTGATCGACCCTCTCCCTGTCAACGTCAGAGTGGTTGTGTCTGTCAATGTAGAGACGTGCCCTCAAGCTTGGAGGTGAAACCCACTGTTGAAATCTAAATATCCTCGTCAATTTGCAAGTTACTATAGGTTGTACTGGTTCAAATGGCTATCTATCTGCTTTCTTTGCAGCAGTATTTATGCCTTAAGATAGTCCTGCAGAATTGCCATTTATAATTCAGTGACTGTGGTTGTTTAGGTTGTGGCCCACACTCCACTTAGACCCACTTAGTCCCAGAGAGGTCAGGAGTGTTGTTAATGCGGAGTGTCAGAGCGTGGATCTCAAACTTACCAAAGATCAGGTCAGTTATCACCCTATTAATCCCCTTTAAAAAATAATAATAACAATTTATAATCATTAGTGAATGTGTGTTTTTTTGTGGGAATATCACAGTTGAAAGTTTCTATTTCTATTTCAGGAAAAGAAGCTGGAGAGGCACTGTCGCTCTGCATCGACCTGCAATGCATTGTATGTCACACTGCTGGCAAGAATGATCACCAGGTTAGCCAACTGTGGTTCACAATTCTTCAAGTTTATTAAACATTACAGAAAAATCTGTTTCCATTGCACTCAGCTGAAAAAAGCAACATTTTGGGGCAGGTGTTTTCCCCTTTAATATGTTATTAGATTGCAGAGCTAGAAAGTATTTTCTAAAAGCCTGTAGCCACACCTGCTGGACCCTTTTTAAATCTCCTCGTCGACCTGTCTGGTGTTATTATTGTCCTTTTAAAGTAGAAGAGATACTTCGAAGCTGTAGCTTCTGTGAATTCTAACTACTTGTCTCCTATAGGGTTAAAATTTCAAAATGCTTGACATGCTTTCTTTGAACTATGATTGACCCATCTTCATTAAATGTCTCTGGTTGTGTCGATACAGCATTTTAAAGGGCAAAAAAGGTGAAGTAATGAGTGTATTTTTGCTTCCCAGCAGTAGATCATGTTGGTCACTGGAGAAGAGCCTGGAGCAATGTCTTCACTGTCAGGACACCATGTCATTATATCGCCTGGCCCTTAAGATGACGCTGAACTCTCTCAGCACAGACAGAGAACGACACATTATGAGAGAGGTAACTCAAACACAGAAGTTTCGTCATTGTTATTGGTTAAGTTAGAAATATGTAGTTTAATCTGATGTCACAGACACTTTATATAAGTTCTCTAGCGTTCTGTTTTCGTTAATATTTTCTACACGTTGCAGATGAATATGTACTTGCTTTTTGTCTCTCCTTAGATACTGTGCCTTGTATGTGCCAGCCATAATGGAGTGAGTGAATCAGAGGTACTAGATCTTTTCCCAGAGGTAGAGTTGCCTGTTCTGTCCTCTCTGCTCTACCACCTGAACAGACTCTGCATTGTAACCCTCCGCTGTGGACTCATCAGGTTTCAACACCTGCAGGTAATGTGGCTTCTTGTTCAGTGAAATTATAGAGTAAAACGTCATTACAGACATAATGCACAAAAGAATTATGATACTCAGAACACAAAATTCGTCATTAGACAGTTTTGTAATTTTTGCCTGTCTGTCTGTCTGTCTGTCAGGCTTGGGAAGCTGTTAGGCTGGAATTCTTGGATGGAGGAAGCAGCTCTGCTACTTACAGAGAGAAGCTAATCCATTACTTCAACCAACAACTCAGGTGCTGCAGAGTAGTCATGATCTCCTTTGACATTTTCTACAGAAATCCCATTCTTCTATCAGTACAACTCATTTCATTGTGTGTGTTCTCAGCCAGGACCGAGTGACGTGGCGTGTTGCAGATGAACTTCCCTGGTTGCTACAGCAGCAGGAGGACAGAGCTAAACTACAGCTCAGCCTCTTGAACCTGTTTGTTTCCCAAAACCTCTACAAGAGGTAGATGTTTGTATTAACTGACAACATGCACGCACAGGAGGTGGCATTGCAATCTATGCCGCATTTTTTCTGAATTGCCTTAAAGATGTGTGTTGTTTGGTTTTTCCAGGGGTCATTTCTCTGAGTTGCTGGCCTATTGGCAGTATGTGGGGAAAGACAAAAGCTCCATGGCCACTGAGTATTTTGACTCTCTGAAACGCTATGAGAAGAGCTGTGAGAGTGAAGACAGCATGACCAAGCTCGCAAATTTGTATGAAACTTTGGGGCGTTTCCTCAAAGACCTTGGCCTTCCTAGTCAGGTAGAGTACTTTGTTATAATATCAGAAAAACATCTAGCTTTTGAATAACCTAATCAATGTTTATTATACACCAAAGATCATTTTCAAAACTTTTGACAGAACTAGACTCAGGGAAAGTGGCCATCTGCCTCGACTGGTTGGGATGGGAGTTGGGATGGGGTGGATAGCATTTTGTGTCATTTTTGTGCTTTATCTTGTATTGCATTTAATTCTGTTGCTTTCATTCACTTACATAGTCTAAAGGGAGAAAAAAATTATAATTTTTTGCTTAGGAAGTAAACATAATAGTATTGGTTGAGGCACATATCACATAGCAACTTTCTCAGTTTGATTCCTGGACAGCTTGATTTTTACTGCTTTCCCTGTCTCTCTCCACTGTCACTATCTAATAAATGCAAAGATACTCCCCAAAAAAATTTAAAAACAAACGAAAGTGCACATATTGACAGTTACGTGCATTTCTGATTCTGTCTCTTTGTCTAGGCTGTAGCGCCTTTGCAGAGATCTCTTGAGATCCGAGAGACGGCCCTGGATCCGGACCATCCCAGCGTTGCTCGTTCTCTGCACCAGCTGGCTGGAGTTTATGTCCAGTGGAAGAAATATGGCAATGCTGAGCAGCTGTACAAGCAAGCCCTCGAGATAAGCGAGAATGCGTATGGCGCGGAGCATGCCAGTGTGGCACGAGAACTGGAGTCACTCGCTATGCTTTATCAGAAGCAAAACAAGTAAATGGGACTCTGGTGTTGTTGGCATGCATGATGTTATTTCTAATTGTTGTTCATGTAATGTGGTTTAGCACTTGTTTCAGCCAAGCAGTATGTTTATAAAGATGCACCCCACCTGTGTTGATGATGTTAGAGAATAACTTAACACTAAATGACACTCTGGCAATGCAGGATTCAATTAAAAAAACACATTTATTAGCTCACACCTGGTACTTTTACTATCAGGTATGAACAAGCAGAGAAGCTCAGGAAGCGGTCCGTGAAGATCCGTCAGAAGACTGCTCGCCAGAAAGGTCATATGGTGAGCATATTTCTCAGATACCCACACCCTTAGTCACGCTCACCTCATCCGTCATATTGTACATGCATTTTGTCTGCTTTCTTCCTTCAGTATGGCTTCACTTTGCTGAGGCGCAGAGCTCTGCAGCTGGAGGAGCTGACCCTGGGAAAAGACTCTGCAGACTGTGCTAAGACACTCAATGAACTGGGTGTCCTGTACTACCTCCAAAACAACTTAGAGTAAGGCACATGACAACTGGCATGCAACACTCTTCCCCTTATAGATATTCAATGTAGAATTACAGCGGAGGACTTTGTACCTGCACCTCAAAAAACATTCGCTAACCTCCTTACATTGCACTCTGTTAATTTCACCTGCAAATCTAAAATTCTTCTCTTTGCCCTCTTCAGTGCAGCCAAGGTGTTTTTGACCCGCTCTCTGGAGATGCGCCAGCGTGTCCTCGGTCCAGATCACCCGGACTGTGCTCAGTCCCTCAACAACCTTGCTGCGCTGCATACTGAAAGGAGGGAGTACGAAACAGCAGAGGACATGTATGAGAGGGCGCTAGACATCCGCAAGAAAGCCTTGTCCCCTGACCACCCCTCTCTGGCATACACACTCAAACACCTGGCCATGCTCTATAAACGCAGAGTGAGACAAGTGCCTGTTAAGACTGAAATGTTTCAACACTTATTAATCAACTCATTTGGTGTTGGTTTTGGCAGATAATCTCATTTTTGTTTTACAGGGGAAGCTGGAGAAGGCGGTTCCACTTTATGAGCTGTCTTTGGAAATCAGGGAAAAAAGTTTTGGACCCAAACATCCCAGTGTGGCCACAGCACTGGTCAACCTGGCAGTGATCTACTGTCAGCTGGTGAGACTGATCAACATGCTTGTTTTGTCTGTGCTACATACTCAGCATTTGCATATTTCTGTTCCCTCTTCTTAAGTAGAAGTACCAGTACCACACTTTCAAAATAGTATTTCAAAAATACAATAAAAGTTCCCTGACTGATACTACTGATCTAAATACTGATATAACATTGTTTTTTACCTATGTATTCTACACCAACATATTTTATGTTGTGATCTTATGTTTTTAAAGTAAAGTATCTATCTGTCTGTCTGTCTGTCTGTCTGTCTGTCTGTATATCTATCTATCACACAATGTCCCCCAGGCATGTACTGACCCAGAAGTATAAAGTAGCATAAAGTAGAAATACTCAAGTAAAATACTAGTATCTCAGCTCCCATATACAGTACAGGAGAAAACATAGATACATTTGGCCACCTTTATTGTAAGTTTTCATGTATTCATTTCTATTTTTATTATTACATTTAATGGCTGTTATCAGCAAGTATTTTAAGCTATACGGAGCAACTGTATTTCTTTGTCTCTTGCAGAAAAAGCACAGTGAAGCCTTGCCCCTTTATGAGAGAGCACTTAAAGTGTACGAGGACAGTTTGGGGCGCTCACATCCACGAGTCGGAGAGACACTAAAAAACCTGGCTGTGCTCAGGTACAGTAGTGGAGGTTACATGCAACATTTGACACATGTTATGTTATTACACTCAGTAATTCTTTTATCTTCTTCTGTTTTAATTCCTTTTTCTAATCTAGCTACGAAGAGGGTGACTTTGAGAAGGCGGCTGAGCTGTACAAGCGTGCCATGGAGATTAAAGAGGCAGAGCCATCATTAGTGTGCGGTAACGCCCCGTCTCGCCATTCCTCCAGTGGAGACACGTTCAGTCTGAGGGGACCTGCTCCACTCCCACATGCCCCGAGGTGACTCTCTTCAGCCGCTGACAGTACAAATATAGAGCAGCAGAAATATAAAATCCCATGGTTTCATCAAAAAGGGAAGCATCCTGGTCGTCACACTGTGATCGTCGTCTGGATGGAGGCTTTAGGGACATACTGTACCTACCAGTAGAATAATGAAGTCTACCGTATTAGTCTGTGAAACCTGTGTATTTACCAGAAGTATTTATTAATATGTAATCATGTCTGTATGACACTCTGAACATCTGTTGAATCAGTCCTTTCACGGGCTTGGATCTCAGGTTTACACAACTCAGTACAGATATCTTTTGGCATGAAATCACTCCATCATTGAGGGATTGTCATACTCTATGATGATTAATGAGCACATTATGGGCTTTAGGTTACAACTCTCATCCAGAAGACCTCAGTTTTTCAGAAGTTGAAGAAACGTACAGTAGATTTTTTTTTTGGAAGGATTACAATGAACTCAGAATCCACATAAGCATTTATGGCTACAAGTGAAAGAACCTAAAAATCCAGTACAAAAGGAGTTTCTCAACTTCTTCCTCCTGACAATAACTAGCAGGACCATCAGACCTCAAGCACTTTGATTTTCAAATCTACATTGTGGACATTCAGAATGAGAATGATTTAGGAGCTGTCTGTTGTCTCTAACATCAGATGTGTCTTTTATGAAAAAATGTCAAGTTAATTTTTTGTTTTATATTTATGTTAAATGCAACGTTTACCTAACAGTATTAAGTATGTATTCTGAAAAGGGAACATGTAGAGGCCAAAGTTAGAGTCCAAAACAAGCCAAGAGCACATCTGAGGACACGAAATCTCCGGTACCGTTTTTATGCTGTGTTTATACAAAACTAAATGTATTTATTCATGTACTACAGGTATTTTAAGGGACTTGCCAAAAAAAAAAAGTTTCCAGGTTTAGGTACAATAAATTAACCAGTTCCTGTTTGACAGAATGAACATGAAGCCAAAAGGGATGCAATGTACCAAAACTTGCAGTCTCAGTGCCAAACACTTATGTCTTTTAAATGTTTTCATATATCCATGTATCTAAATCATGTAATTAAACTCTGTAAAAGCTGTACAGCACAGTCACAAGAATCATATCCAACACGTCGAGAAGATGTATGCCATCTAATAAATACTTTATTGAGACAACTTAAACATTGTTCTGTAATGTTGCAGCAGATAGTTTCTTAAAGCTGAGTGAATGACAGAGCACATGATTGAAAAGTTGGGACACTCGTTCACTAATCAAAACCTTAGAAAACACACATTAATTAAATCATTAACTGTGATAATTATCTAGGTTTAATGACATTTCAATAGAAACTGTTCCAAGTCTATTCCAAGTGCTACACGCGTTCCCAGTATGTCAACAAATTACACATTCGACTTCTTGCATTTTTTGTGAGTTACATGCCGTTAGCAGCATTTTTCATGCATTCTCTTTCTTTAGCTGTTAGAATTAGTCATTCTGTAATTCTTCATTAATTGGCGTTTCTATGAGGATGTTTCAAAATTAAGTGTTGGCCAAGAAAAGGTATGTTATATCTGAATAGCAGAAATGCAGATTGTCGCCTACAACTTCCTCATTTGAGCCATTAAGTCCTCTAGGCTCTGTTCAGTCTCCTCCACTGTGTCTCCACTTGTCGGTTCCTGTTTCAAACACAGACAAAAAAAAACACAATGTCATCTGAATTTAGTTCAAAAGGCGTCTTGGTTTATAGAAATACTCACAAAAAAAAAAAAAAAAAGTTGAAACAAAATACCAGCACCTTAACTATCAGTTTGAAATGAAAGTAAAACTGGAGACTAGAAGTTTTCCATTTAGCAGAAAACATATATAATAACTAGTAGAATTTAAAACCTTGTGTATGTTGTCTCAAACTTATACTAACCTCAGCTGGAATGGTATAAGCCACGGTGATGCCTTCTGGGAGATCCGGCACTGTACCCGATGCAGCCTGTAGCTCTGCATCAGTCACCTCTGACACCAGTTCAATACCTGCACAGCACAATTGCATGTGTTAGTACACATAAGAGAAATCCAGACAAACTATGTTACACATAGGACACCGTTAGCTGTTTTTGCTCACCCCATTCATTGTCTTCATGCACGACCTCCTCCTCTTCCTCCACAACTTCCACCTTTGGCCGCTCTGCTTCTTTTTTCTGAACAGACAAGGTCACACAGATTTTCCCAACATCATATAAGAGTATATATGGCAATGATGGACAGGATTTTTACTCGGTTCTGCATCCTAATATGTAAAAAAACACACACACACACACCTTGTACTCCTCCTGTTGTCTCCTGCAGTAGCGGTCGTTACACTGAGGGTTGGCTTTCATGGCCATGGAAGGGAAGAAGTCCTGCATGGCGTTGTAGCCGAGATAATAACTGACAGTACCGAACTTTAGCAGATATCTGGAAGACAAAACATTTCATCAACAATGTTTAACTTCACCTATACCATATCTAAATAAAATGTGAAAAACTTCATACCCTTAGAGTTTAATCTGGCCATAAATGATAACCTACTTGAGGACATTCTGCACCAGGAGCCCTGCCACCACGCCCATTGTTGTGGGTAAGCTGGCAGCACAGACGCCCTCCCGCTTTAGGGTCTTCTCATCGATGTTAGCCGCCACCACCAGTGGAGGAGCACACTAACAAAAGATGTAATACTGTATTAAAATGTAACTACTCCAATTTTTTTAAAGAAAATTTACGAGTTGAGCATCTTAAAGTAGAATGTTAAAAGTCAAGAAAAGGTGCTGTTTGTGTGCGGACATACAGCGAAACAAGCCGTCTCTCCGGGAATGATGAGCTGGATGTGACCTGATACAGCGTTCTCACTGACTCCAGACTCCATCCAGATCTGACCTAGTTCATTACAGGCCTGAAAAACAACATAATGAGTCCAGTCTTTAAGAGTAACACGCACTCCCAGCTTTGTTTTAAGCCATGGTAATCAACGTACTGTATTGATGGCCATTCTGGCCTCAAAGTTGTCCACACAGCTCAGGACCAAATCCACTGGCTTCCCTTCTTCCAGCCCTCCTTGACTGAGAAAACAGAATATATTCTTGTGAAGGTTTGTGCAAATCAAGAGGACAGAGGTGGAAAACTAGACAGTTTAGCGTAGGAAGGCCAACCTGATGCGATCCATAAAATGTGTAAAGTTTTCCATTGTGGTGATGTTGTAGTTATGGGTCTCAAACGACACGTCTGGATTGATGTTTCTGTTGGGAAAAATGAGTCACCCTTAAGTAAAAGAAGCTGAATTGCTTTGAAGGAAAAGTGGATATCAGTGTACCTGAGTGTGTGTTCTGCTGCTTCCACTTTACTGAGACCCGCCTGGTGAGGCTGGAAGAACAGCCGGTTCATGTTGGCCAGCTCCACTTTATCGTAGTCAAAGAGGAGCAGCTGCGACAAAATGAAGAAAGGCAACAGGTAAGAAACACACAGGAAAGTAAAGAAAACACAGCGTGACAAAGACAGAAACCAAGCAAATGTGAAAGATAATGGAAACGTTTGTATTACCTTACCAATGCCACATCTAGTGAGCATTTCAGCGGTCACACTGCCAACTCCCCCGACACCAACTACAGCTACTGTGAACGTCCGGATTTTCTGTCAACAAATTTGAAGCTCGTTATACGTCTATCACAATGCTAAAGCCATCCTTTAACCTTATCCATGCTTTAAGATTTACTACTGGTGATAATCATAATACTCATCAGTGTGAGCTGTGCCCTAAGGTTGGGCTGCCCTCCTTCTCTGGGTTTTATTCATTTATAAAGGCGCTTACTGTTTTGTTGTTCTTAGTGTCCGCTAATGTGGGACCTTACCACAAACACTCAAATGATTGGACTAAGCTGCAGGAGTCAGAGGTTTTTATTGAGCTTGGAAAATCCACTTTTACTCACTGTGCACCTGTAGCCTGAAATAACACGCAGAGCAAACTAAAGCTCCTCATTTTTATTTTTATGGCAATTTAGGTTTTAAATTTTGTCTTTTTTTCCTCTTTTTTTTAACCTCCAGTTTCTAACATGTAAATAACAACAAATATACACAAGTACTGTTGATATTGTACTGATTAATCCATATGTGAAAATTCAGATTTCTCTGGATGGGGAAAATAGCACATATCTGTATATTGTAAAAACACTAATATTAACAGATTCTCTCATGAGAAGAAGAACTGACATTGCACAGATTCCTGCATATGTAAAAGAAATTCATATTTCATGGAGTTAGAATGAAGCTGATCTGTTCATTATATAAAGCAGCATTGCAGCAACTGGAGGTCAATAAATCCACGTGGACCTGCTGCAGTTCATATGTAAATATGAATGGGTGGAAAATTTGAATTATGCATATTATTATACCAATATGAGTCCTTCTTTATGAGTTATGGGAATTTCTGTGACAGGTAAACAAAAGCCTTGGAGCATCATACCTCATAATCATCCACGATGCCCATTCTCTTTAAAGCCATGAGACGACTGAAATAAAAACACAGCTGGGGTTAGCTTGTGGTCTGTGATTTTAAAACGGGGTGACTCATGAGGCGTCGCCCCTCAGCGCCGGCAGCAGCTCACGCAAAATCTGTCAAAAGCCAAAACTATGAACTAAAAAGTTACCTGTACGGGTTGGAATCGACAACTTCGGCGCTCATTTTATCTATTTTGGGTCTGTTCAGCGCCTGACTGTGAGCATCTTCCATCGCACACTGCTTCTGCTTGCACTTGATCAGCTCGTTCTCCAGCTCTCTGACCCGCAGCTTCAGCTCCTCCACGGTCGCCATCGGGGGAAACAAATATCGCTAAACAACGCGAATAAAATGTAATGTTATAAACAACAAAAAATGCGAATGACAACTCGAAATGGGGATCTCTAGAAAAGTACACGTCTTCTCTTCTCAAATCAGCTGTCAGGATGTGTGCTCCCGTAAACAACGTCCGTGCAGAAAACGAAGACCGTAACGCGTTCCTACATCTTTAGTGGATTTATTTATTTATATTTTAGGATATAAGTTTATCGTTGAATAAATTCTGTCCATTAGCTTCTAAACTCTATTCAGTTTCTGTAAGACAGTAATTAATCAATTAAATGACTTTTGAGGACGTTACGTCGGTGGGTGCGCATGTGAATGGTCCGACCTCTATTAACTTCTGTGGAAAATCACTAGTGCCACAATTTGCCTCTTTTCAAAGAAAGACAATAAATAAAAAAATAAATAAAAATGGTGCTTTTATGGCTTTCTAATAAAATATATTTTTACACTGTCAAAAATGCAACTTTTTATGAAGCTCTGGTCACTTTTATGCACCAAAAAAAATGCCTAAACTCTGCTTTTTACATGGTCAAAAATCTGCTTTCGTGGTGTTCCAGTTAGACTTATTAAAACACTGCTTTTTACTGTCAAAAAGAAATAAAATTACAGTTTTACACTGTCAAAAGCCCAACAAAAAGGAAAAAAAGATAATTTTTTATGGTTTTTGTGAGAGCATAGCTTACACTACTTTTTATGTGATCAGAAAACACCTACAGTTTTTACACCATGACAAACAGCCTAAATAGCACCTTTTACCACAATAAGAAAATGTGCTGTCATGGTGTTACAGTTACATATATCAAAACACTGCTTTTTACATGGTCATAAATGATGAAATTGCCCCCTTTTACAGCATATTTTCATAGGTTGACAAGCCCTTTATTCTGTTTTGCATAGCCACAAAGTTCAAAGTTTGTGTAACCACTTAGTAAAAGCAAAACACTAAATGTTCATATGGACCATAAGGAATGTGAAGCATATTATGAGGAAACATGAAAGATATTGCGCAAAAAGTATTTTATGGGGACCTAAAACTTCAAGGTAGTCCCCCCAAAAATCTTGCATGACCTTTAAAGGGCTCCATAGTGTTCAAAAATCACAAAGATTGTTGTTTTGTTTTGCCACTTGCAAGCACGTGAGTAAAGTGAAGCTTTTTACACCATTGTTAACATTCAAAGTTAAAAGCCTTAAAAATGTATATGTATATATAAAAATAATATGTATTAAAAGCCACTTTTTACACTGGGAATCATAACAAAACAGTGTTGTGACTGCTTGTATGCTGCACTTTATACTATTTGTTTTGTTTTATGTTTTTAATAAATGCGTTTAAGAAGTGACAATTCATGGTACTTTTAAGCTTTTGAGTAACCATACATAGAACAGTTTAATAAACATTTTTTATTGCACAAACATCATGCCTTTAGCATCGTTGCATTTGACCAATAAGAACAGGTAAACATATAGTATGTCATAGATTGTAATATATATAAGTAAACATCCTCTAAAGTAAACCAAAGGAAGAAAGAAGATAGAACCAGTGCTTCTTTATTTAAAATAATTTTTTAATTTTCTTTATTTTAATTATCTAATTGTATTTTGTTAGAACATTTTTCGTTTACATGATTTTAAGAGCTTTTGTATAAAAGAGAAACTTATTAAAAAAAAAACACAACACCTGGGTATCACCTTCACATACATATATGTACTTTTTTTTTTTAAAGGGAAGAATATTTTTAGACAGAAAATGATCTTTGCTTTTGCCGATGAGAAGTTGCATAAATGAGCAACCTCTTTGTAAAATCAGTCATACACGGAGCCATAAAGCTTTCACACACATAAAATGGAATAAAATAAAATAAATAAATCACAGCTATCAACACCGTCTGAATATTACATTTAATTCAAATAAATAAATAAATAAAGAAATAAAATAAATGGCTTAAAGAATCTTGAGTTTTCCACACTCCAGTCCGTTGGAGGCGGAAATGCAACTCAATCACCAAAATCCACCAAAGAAGAAGAAGAAGAAGAAGAAGAAGAATAACAACAGCAGCAGCAGCAGAAGAAGAAGAAGAACATTTCTAAACTCAATAATGCTTCTGGTAATGATTAATCCCGTATATCTAAAACATGGACGGACTGACAACTCCTGTACGACAACAACATAAATTTAATGTTAGCAGTCTTCAAAGATACTTGACTGTCAAGTCACGGTTGTCGCATAATGACACACTAACTGTCAGACAGTACAGGTAAGACACACAGACAGAGCTGGCTTGTTTTCTCAAAGTTAGTCTTGTACGAATGTTTAGCTAACTGATAACACGTTATGACGTCTGTTATCTTTCAGTGCTGGTCAGTCAAACCCAACTTTCCTAATCCAGGCACCTTCACAGAGCTATGTTCTCAGGAAGAGACCCCCAGGTGAGCTGCTGCCAGGGGCTCACAAGGTAAGAGTTCACCACTGAATCGCATTCATCGGCACCCTGCACAGCAGTGTTTGCAGATGTGTTCAAACACTGCTATGTGTAGCCCCTTCACTTCTCCAGCAGGGGGAGAAACTGTTGAAAATATGTTTGGTGTGAACACCACATTTGACAGACATACACAAATATGCCATAGCTCTGCTCAGTGCTAAATGTAAGTGAAAACACACACACACAAAAGCTGCCAGCACCACATAAGTTCATGTATTATTTGCAAGAATGTGAAAGAACCGTGACATTTGGTGCTCATTTTGCTGAACATAGAGACAAAGTTTGGATACAAGCTGGTTTGAGTTCACACGTAGTTGCTGATCATTGTAGAAACTCTGCATGAAGTGAATTCACAAAGAACAAGTGTCCATCAGTTATCCAACCTTTAATGTACAGTGGTTAGAAAAGTATTCAATCCCCTTGGAAGGTTTCCTCTTTTATTGCTTTTCAACACTTAATCATGTTAAATATAATTTGGCTTTTTTGGGAAGAATTTACAAAAAAAAAAAAGTTTGTTAATGTAAAAGTGAAAACTGATTTTTTAAAAGTAATGCCAAATAATTAAAAATGTAAAGTAAGTGATTGTGTAAGTATTCTCTCCCCTCAAGTCAGTATTTAATAAATGCACCTTTAGTTGTAATTACATTATTGGGCCTCCGTGGATGAGTCTCATTCAGCCTTGCACATCTGAACACTGAGTCACCCACGTGCCTTCCGTTGAATTTTAGATTCAATTCAATTCAATTCAATTTTATTTGTATAGCGCATATTTACAACAACAAGTCATCTCATAGCGCTTCACAAAGGCAGATGAGATTTATTATGAGCTCTTTCAACAGTGGCTTTCTGTTTGCCACTCTCCCATAAAGATTTGACTGATGAAGAACAAGCAACACTTGTTTTTTGCACAGTCACTCCCGTCTCAGCTGCTGAAGATTGTAATTCCTTTAGAGGAGTCACAGGTGTCTCGGTGGTCTCCCTCACTCGTCTCTTTCCTGCACGGCCGCTTAGTTTTCAAGTACGACTTATGCTTTTCAGTAGCCTTTTGCATTTTATATTTTTAATTAATTGATGTTTCTTTGTAAAACTCTGTTTTCATTTTGACATTTTTTGTAATTTTTTTGTTGAAAAAGAAAAATTCAGTTGACCATGATTTCATGTTTAAAGACAACAAAAGGGAAAAACTTCCAAGAGAGGTGAATATTTTTTACTGTATGCATAATGGTACTCTCATTTCCCAGTGAAAAAACACATTAAAACTTTTTCTACTCTCTCCAAACTTAAAACATAGAAAGAACAGGGAGGAACCAAACAGTGAGCCTTGGATTTGTAACTGTTATGAGTATTTTTTTCCATTTTGTCTACCAGTGAATTGTATCTGTGCACTTGCTCTGTATGTGAAAGTAAACAGAGTGAAACAAAACAGAGAGATATTTTGACTCTGCCCACCCAAGGCCAAACCAGCTGAGTCTGAGAGAGACTGCTGTAAAATATAACATAAACAAAACCACATAGATCCATCCATCCATCCATCCATCCATTATCTGTACACCGCTTAATCCTCACTAGGGTTGTGGGGAGGCTGGAGCCTATCCCAGCTGACTTAGGGCAAAGGCAGGGACATAGATATATGTAAATGGATAATAAGCAGTGAGTTTTCATGATACTGAGGAATTGCATATCAATTTCTGTGTTGGAAATCCTATTCCAATTAAATTATGTAAAATAACATGTTAATATAATATCCTGACAACATTTTTCAAGCGCGGCTTATACTGTGGTATGTTTGACTTTGTTTTCAGGTGGACAGGGAGTATCGGGTGCAGAAGGCCCTTTTCTCTGCTGGTTTTCCTGTGCCTCAGCCCCTCTTGCACTGCACCGATGTAGAAGTAATTGGGACGGAATTCTACTTGATGGAGCATGTGAAGGTCAGTTTGTGCACTCAAGCCAAATTTACATTGCTGGAAAGTCACCACTCACAAATTCCTGCATCTAATTTATTATTTGCTGTTGCTTGATATTGGCTCTATTCTCTAAAGGTAAAAGTTGGAGTTTGGAATTTTTATTTTTTGTAACAAGACACTGTTGTTGATCCATTTCTGTCGATCAGGGCCGCATATTCAGGGATCTGCGTCTCCCTGGAGTGAGTCCAGCAGAGAGAACAGCTCTGTATGTGGCTGCAGTGGAGCTCTTGGCAAAGCTTCACTCACTGGACCTGCAATCACTGAACCTTGAAGGGTATGGCAGAGGGCCTGGTTATTGCAGGAGACAAGTGAGAAAACACTTTATACTCCAAACTTCTTTGTATAGTATATCCAATCTTAAAAACTGGTCAGATTTCCAAATTCCAAATTGAAATGACCCGGAATGATGGAATGCCTTTTCCTCATTATAGGTGTCCACCTGGACAAAGCAGTACAAAGCAGCAGCCCACGTTGACATCCCAGCCATGAATGAACTGTCTGATTGGTTGATGAAGAATTTACCAGTGAATGACAATGAAGTCACTCTTGTCCATGGAGATTTCCGATTGGACAACTTGATTTTCCATCCAACAGAGGTGACATTTCTATGACCAGTCGTCTCTCAGTTTTGCTGTATTTATCAGTAAATACTTCACAGAGTGTGTTTGATGTCATAAGGCACGTGTGGTAGCAGTGTTGGACTGGGAGCTGTCTACCACTGGGCAGCCCTTAGCGGACTTGGCATACTTCCTTATGCCTTGCTACTGGCCCACAAATTTCAACATTATCAGCTCAATGGGGAGTTTAAATGGAGTAGAAGGTAATGTCAACGACTAACAATATAAACCTTGAGCATAATTAGTAGATATAAAAATAGATAGATGAATGTACTTATGTTTTCATCTTTGCATGAACGTATTGTGTATTTATGTCGACTCACAGTATATACTTGTCCTTCTACCTTCGTCCCTCAACGAGCAGGAGCTCCATCTGTGGGCGACCTGATCTCCATTTACTGCAGGTGTCGGGGGATCCCATCTGTGCTGCCGCAGTGGAATTTTTACTTGGCCTTGTCAAACTTTAAAATGGCTGGAATTGCTCAGGTTTGTACAAAGTTAAACTGCAGTGGTGTACCTATTTGCCCTTTAGGCGTACACATAAGAATTTAAATGCTTCCCCTGTTTGTTTATTAGGGGATCTACGCTCGCCACTTACTGGGTAATGCCAGTGCGCCCAATGCAGCCCAGTTCGGCCAGTGTGTGGAGCCCTTGGCTAAGGAAACCTTGCAGCTTTTACAGAGGTTGGTTGCTGTTATGAAGTGATTAATGGTGATTAACTGGCTTTCAGATTAATATAATTTGTCATAATCAGCATCAGGACAACCCAAACATGCTGTTATGTGAAGATTACGATCAAGATCAATTGTTAGAATGGGCCAGAAAACTGATGAATTCCACCTGCTGACTAAACTTAAGCCAGGAACCTCTAGCTGTTGTCTGCGACTGTTAAAGTTTAAGATGTGTTTCCAGGCCTCTGACAGAGCCAAAGAAAGACGGACTCTTCCTCCAGACAGCTAAAGGTCAAGCTGTTCTCCGGCAGGTCAAAGACTTCATGAGACAAAACGTGCTTCCTGCTCAGCGGGTCAGTGCCGAGAGTTGCCTTGAACAGAAGGGATTTGTTTTCCCAGATGGATTCTGACTTGGATATGAAATTATTTAACAAAGGAGCTCATTCATGCGATCAGGACCAAGTAATTAGAGTGAGAAAACAATGAGTCTGTTGATTACATAGATTATGTCGCACGCAGGATCGTCACCACCGGCTGGACATCACAACCTTGTTAATACAGTGCAGCAGGGTGAAGTGAGGAGATTGTTTATATTTATGGACGAAATTGACAGACAGAAACAGAAGAAAAATAATACAGACTCCAGTAAAATTGTCTCTACGTTAACATATTGTAAAGTTGAGGAAATATTGCTGCATGTTGCTTTGCATATTACCAGTAATGCAGATTGTACAGTAGTGAGAATAGAGCCAGAATGCCATTACTTATACGTCTTACCAATCCACTCGGTAATCAGTGTTATTTTCTACCAGGAAGTTGCAGAGTACTACTCCAAACATGCTGAGTCTTCACAGAGGTGGCGCACCCCGCAAATAATAGAGGATCTAAAGGTATGTAGGGCTATTCCTCGTGGATATTCAATCTCTTCTCTGCAGAGAGCCAGCATAAATATTAGCAACAAAAGCCAATCAAAAGTCAAGCATCAGTCAAATGGCCAAGTCTATTTAAATGTTCTCCAAACAGTGCACCTCCCTTCTGAGTCACTCGCTACAATCCATCATTAACAGTTTAAATTAAAGCAAAAGCAACATTATTTGCGCCTGCATCGATCTGTTCCAACTGCTTGCTCTGCTTGTCTTCACCAACATCTATCTGAAAGAAGCATTTGTCCTTTTTTACACTCCTTATAATAACAACATGCATGTCTGGTATTCAGGTGAAAGCCAGGGCGGCAGGGCTGTGGAACTTGTTCCTGCCTGCAGCCAGTGGGCTCAGTCAGTTGGACTATGCCTATATTGCAGAAGAAACTGGACGCTGCTTCTTTGCCCCCGAAGTCTTTAACTGCCAGGCTCCTGGTAAAACATCTTACATGGTGTCAGGTTTAGAGATAATTTATATGATTGTGGGTTCATTCTTCCAGTTAAATGACAATACTTAGAACAAGATTATCATGTTCTGAATAAAATCCTTAACTTTTTTGCTGCAACCATGCATTTTTAGGTTTATTACTGGGTTAAAAAATGTTAAATTAAAACATACAATTCTCCAAAATTGGCCCTTTTCAAGGTGTTGTTTTTTTTGCCATAAGAGTTAAACCAAAGCACACATTAGTTTCCAAGTTTAGCTCATAATTGTTTGAAGATGATAGATGTTGTGGTATTTTTCCACAGACACAGGAAATATGGAGGTGCTCCACTTGTTTGGCAGTGAGGAACAGAAGAAGAAATGGCTGGAACCTCTGCTCAGAGGAGAGATCCGCTCCTGCTTCTGTATGACAGGTATTTTAACCGTCGCATCACAGAAGGCTGAAAAAGAAAACATACCATAATCTCTGCATCAGGAATGGTATGAGCGTTGAAAGCCAAGCCTGAGGAAGCAACATAATTTTATGATGTGTAGGATTTGACGTCACAGTTTGGAACACTTGCATTAAGCTCCTTACAGAAGTTTCAGCTCATTTACAAGGCACTGTTAAGGTCAGCCCCCGGAATATTTATTGTGGTTTTCCGCAAAATTTTCCAGTGATGGTTGTGGGCTTAAATGAGTCGGGTTACACGCAACACGGTTGCCACCGACTCTGTCAAAGGTTTGTTTGAACGTTTTACGTGCCAGCAGCAAACACTAGTTCACTATGAGTAATTTCTCCCTGTTTTGCTCCACGTTGCTTTCCACACTGCCTGGAAACTGCAGCATGCTGTTGCCAGAGGTGATTACAGTGGGTGTGAACGTCTCCCGTGGTTTTTGTAAACACAGATGGTGATTAGTAGTGTTTTGGGGATGTTTCTCGTCAGCGGTTTGGTAGATTTATTACGTTGGATGATGAGGAACAGGAACCCCCGTGTTGGGCTGATAAACAATTTCTACTTTTAGCCTTTTTTTGAGAGTTATCTGCTGTGTTAACCCCCCCTGAACCCTATTCAGTTTCTGGAGAGTTTTGTCGTTCCTGTCACATTGTTACTCACCGTGGTTCTCATTTTCCACAGCAATATAAAATCTTGCATCTCTATGGAAACAGCATGATCATGGCTAGTAGTCAAAACAATTTTAAAATGTTTTTAGTGCAGCAGAAGAAGGTTGAAATTTTTTAATTCCAAGTGCCCCCAGGAGTTATCAATACTGAAAAAAAAATACTACAGATATTTTCTTATTTACATATGCCATACTAATACTATACAATTACTACTAATATTCCCACACTGTTTACTTACTTCAACATCTACTAACTTGGCACTAAAAAGATATTTGTGTGTTTTCTTTTGCGCTCAGTGTCTCAAATCTGTTCCCACACGTGTCTCTCTGCTGTATAAACACAGCCTGCAGTTCAGCCAGACAGTCATTACGTCACGTGACTGTTGGTCACAGCTGAGTCACTTCTGACTTCTAAGTTGTATTAACACGTGTAGAATTTTCTTATACAGTCTCGTGCAAATGGGTTATTTTTGGTAAATATTTAAATGAGGTACATAGAATGAGCTAACTGGACAGAAATATCATGATTTTAGAGTCACACATGATCAGATCAAGCTGAGAATCCTTCTGTTTTTACACTTTCTAGCTCTGATAAATGGTGTAATTTGGTAGTTTTTCAAAGGTAACATGTATTTCAAACCCACAAGAAAGTTTTGAGGTGAGGGGGGTTAATTAAAAAATGGTGTGAGTACACTCTTTTTACATTGAACTCTACCTGTGGTTTAAGCTGGAATCTAAAGAAGTAGAAGAGCAAAGGCAGGGCTCTATAGATTTAAAACTCATTGGAGTCTGAGTCTCTGTATCTTGTGGTTTTTTCCCCAGAGCCCGACGTGGCCTCCAGTGATGCAACCAACATGGAGTGCAGCTTTCACAGGGATAAAGACAACTACATCATAAATGGCAAGAAGTGGTGGAGCAGTGGTAAGTAGGCTTTTATTTCTTACATGAGTTATAGTAGATCATACGTACTATCCCACCCAGAACGCTGAAGAGGTTTCTGCTTCGTTTTACGACTGAGAATTTTAGAGAGCTTAAGAATCAAAAAAAACAATCAATTGTTTGATGTCTACTTACTGAACTCACTTTAAAGCTTTTTTTTTTTTTTTGACACGTCCCCATAAAACACAGACTGTTTTTAAAAAGAGTAAATCTGATAATGTTATTGTCCACAAGTGTACTCAGGAGCTTTTCTCAGAAAGAGACGAGTTTATATGTAGTCAAGATGTTACCGAAGCAAAGCCTTACAGAGATGCATTCTTACCCAAACTGCGAACATATGGACGACAAAAAAAAAGCACAAATGACTCATACAATAAGCATTATGTAACATAAACAACTTTTTCATGACCTTTAAAATCTTGCATTGATTTCATTCTGGAAAATACGGCTTTTGTTTTCCAGCTGGTTGGACGAGTAAAAGGTCACGGATTCCAACCATGATACATAGTCAGTGTGTGTATCCGTCAATCGACACTTTGTCATTGTGAGTAAATAAGTCGAAAAAAACAGATAAAACAAATGTTAATGTAACCCTTAGGTTTAAATGGCCCTAAAAGGACGTCACTGTGCGCCGCTGCATTGACTCTATAAACAAATTGCACGTGATAGCTCTTTGGACATTAATGACTGATGTGTGAGTCAGATTTTTTATGTTAACGTTGTACTTTAGTCTGTCTTTGTCTGCCTCTGTTAATGAACTTTGTCCTCAATATCCTGTTTTTAAAAAAACTAAACAATATAATTCAAGGACAGTTAAAGTAAAACAAAAACCACAAACTGGTATTAGTGTTTTTAAATGTTTATCATTCACCTCCTTAATCACTAGAAACCGAAAGATATTCCAGATGTTTACTCTGACACATATGTAGTCTGAAGGTTTTACTCCCCAGTTTAAAGGAAAACATTGGGCTGTTGTTTTTTCAGAGCTGCACGGAATTCCTCCATGCCGCTGAAAGCTTAAAATGCTACGGTTTACCAAAATTGAGCAGTATTTCTACTGTCAACTTATTGTCTTTATGCAATGCATTCCTCTTGTCAGTCATACATCTGTAGTTAGACTCGTTTTTCATAACGCGTCTCTTTTCATTGGAAGTGAAATTTCCGCCACAAAAAAAAAAATCTTCTGGAGTTGTGAGATTGTCCTTTGCCAATATGAATATGTGTCTGTGTTAGGAAAGAATGCGGGCGTGGGGATGACCATTTTCATGCTTTCTGTGACCTGTGGTTGCTTTGGTAGCAAATCATATTATTCAAGAGTGGAAACTGAATGGTTTTGTGCTTTTTGCAGTGAGTCACTGTGTCCACATACAGTCAGTCCAATTTCTCTTTTAACAAAAGGGAAAGCAAAACTAGTCACTGTATGAATTCAATTATTTTCAATTCTTATTATTTTGTGTTCTTCTTATTTTAAATTCTTATGTATCTACGCAAACTCATTCTTTCCAAGTATCAAATGTAACCACTACTGCCACTTCCTCAATGATGTGCTATATGCGTGCACTTGACAGCCCTTTTTTTTCTTTTTTTAATGTTGTACAGTATCTTTCCCATAGAGAAACAGGAACTAAAGACTTCCCATCCGTGGTTTTAGAACTGTACTTCATTGTAAATACACAGCAATTCTTAAATTAGATGTCGTAGGCTTTTCTTGTCTGCTGCTTACCACCAAATAACCCACTGTAACTTAAACTTACTGGAAAGACTGGAATATTCACTTTGGTCACACATTACGTGTAATCCACATGCACTAGAGCATGAAGCAATTTTTCCTCTTCGCTTTTGCTTTTTCTCTTAAATTGTGGCAAAGAATTACTAGCTGGGAGAGTCTATAGAACTTTCCGGTGCAGCTCTGTGGTGTGGAAGCTACATAATACTGTCCCACAGGCGTGATGATGTCGGAAAATTACTCCCAGGCCTGCAATCTTTTGTCTTTAAGGCATATTTGCATACACACTCACACAAGAGAAGCCAATATACACATGTTTACCATTATTAGTAGCTGCTGGTTGTGTGCAGTTGAATTTTATACAAGTAATTTTGGTCTCTTTCAAACTAAAGTAAAAACAAGTAAAATATATAAATTAGTATACTTTTTTTTTTTTTTTTAATCATATGATTTGACATTTTGAGGCATGTAATTCTTGCCAATATTAACTGTTTAGGAAAAACCTGATGTACATCTGAGTGAGACTGTGGTGAAAATAGACGCTTTTAATGATGCTTATTGACATACAAATTTCACTTCTCTGCTTTTGTCAGATTGCCATGTTCTGATCTTAAGTTTAAATGTCTGAAGTAGCAAAAACATCGCGTCTTGCATCACATATCACCCCATTCACATACTTTTGGTGGACATTGTATAACTAAATGGGCTCTACTGAGATGTAGGACTTCCTTGTTTACTTATTTTGTGTGCTGTCATGCAATCTAATACTCATGTTGCCTAGAAACCCAGTCTTCCCTCTGCTTGGACACTATTAAAGTTGTAGCCTAAACGTTTGTCTGTCTGGCTAGACGCACCAAGTTTGGGTATTGTACAGAGTGTAGCTCCCACACATCCAATTTGAAAGTCATTATTGTTGAAAGAGGATGACTAGCAGGTATTGCAGATGGAAAGAATGGTAAACAATGAAATGACTTAGTGTCTGAGGAGCTTTAGGACGCATCTGTTGTGGCTCTGGTCAGGATGTTTTGCACAACGAAGCTTTGCCGTTGTGTAAAGAGGCTTGAATAAACTCTTTGACTCTAGCTATCCATCACATCGAGCCTAGATTTCATAGAATAGGGTTAGCTTGCCATAATGTTATATGGTGGCGTTGAGTAATTTGAAAGGAGAAAAATATGGATTGCACTTAACTGCAAACTGTATTCTCTTTCAAGTTCCAAGTTTATTCAAATCAAAAAAGATGAGTGGATGAAAAATGGCCTCAAAGGAACGTTCAGCACTGCTTTTTCTTGGCTTTATAGCATGAATGGGTCCTTCCTGCTGTTTGTTGTCCTGTCTTCGTTTGCCAATTGTTTTTCAACTCAATGGTCACCCACTGTGCAATTATTCCAACCCGGGCCACGAGATGTGATAAAATGAGATGCAGATGATCTCATGGATGGAAGACTGTGCCGATTGAATTGGATTCGTTGTGAAAAACCAGAAAAGTTCTCCGAGCGTCTTGACTTTCAGCTGTGTTTGATTGCAACAGAAGTGCGTAGATGCGCATCATTAAAAAGCTTTGTTCTTTTATTTAACAAAATACATAATTTATACAAAATACTTTGTTTAGTTAGTGCATGTAAACTCACTGTACATATATATTACCCTAAAAAAGAATACCTGTAGTAATTGATATCTGTCCTGTATGATAGTACAAGTATGCAAATATGTATACGTAGACATACAGTTTGCATAGGTGCTTACAAGGAAATAGATCTATTTTAGAGTCTTAAATGGTAAAGGTGCTGGTGTCTTGGTCTTCGGAACCGGACTGGGATTGAGTTTGATTGCGTGTGTTAAGCGCAATCTCCACCGCCGGCTCCTCGTTCACGTGTGTCGGGTGTCTCCCAAGGCGCTGTCCAAGGCGCTTAGCCGCCTTTAGGACGTGACCCCTAAAGGAGGACCCGATGAAGGCGTAGAGAACTGGGTTGATGCAGGCGTGGGTGAGCGCCAGGCTCTCCGTCACTTGGACAGCGCGATCCAGATTCTTGCTGACTTCACAGTCCGTCACGAGGATGTAAATGATGTCCATCGCTCGGCACAGCTTGACCACGTTGTAGGGCAGCTGGGTGAGCAGGAATACAGCCACCACAGCGAGGAGGACGCGCAGGGCTCGCCACTTTCGGTCTCTCCGCACCCCAACGGCCTTAGTCAGGGCCCGCCCCACCCAGCAGTAGCATATCACCATGACCAAGAAAGGCAGCAGGAACCTAAGGGTCACCTCCAGCAGCTCCAGGGCAGCTTTAGCAGGTCGGGCCATGCTGTGCGGGTAGACGGGGGTGCAGCCGATCCTGTGATGGGAGATCTTCACTGTGGAGAAGATGAGCTCGGGAAGGCCAAGAAAGCTGGCTAAAGCCCACAACACGACACACACCAGGAGCCACTGTCTCCTCGCTCGGGGTCCTGTCCCATTTCTGCCGGTTGGATTTTGGGCTACAGCACGGTAGCGATCCACACTGATGCACGCCAGCAGCAGCATGCCACAGCTGAAGTTGGTGCTGTAGAGGAAGGAGGTGATCTTGCAGGCGGCCTTTCCCAGCCTCCATCCGTGGACCGCGTCAGCCGCCCAGAAGGGCAGGGTGAAGAGCAGCAGCAGGTCCGAGATGGCGAGGTTTAGGATGCACACGTCCGTCAGGGTTCGTAGTCTCAACCGGGATGTGTAGACAACCACCACCAGGGCGTTCCCAGCCAGACCTACCACCAGAGCCAGGGTGTAGATGATTGGGAGGAAGACGCCACCAAAAGAGCGCACCGCTTCCTTGTCACAAATGCTGTGTTCATAATTGTAGTCGTAGCTGTCATTAAAGCTGGCGTCTTCGTCATCGTGGTAGTAGAAGTCTTCCATTTTGTCCTGTGAAGGCAAAACAGAGCACGCTTTAGAGAAACATGGGATTACATTTCACTCAGAACTTTTTTAAGCTGTTGTGATGCAGTATAATCAGTTAAATCATTTGCCGTAGATGTGTAATTTGCGTTATTTAACAGATTAAGAGCAGAGCGTTTGTAAATGATAGGCTCCCTTTCAGCAGAAACGGGAAAAGGAAGTTGTTTTTCTATTCTTCATTGAAGGAATCTCTCTTGCATGCTTTCCCTAAAGGCTTAAGCCCTGTCTGTCTGAAATGTGTGTGGGCTTGAATAACCCCACTGAACACAACTCTGAGGGAAAATAAAAGCAGACAAGAGGCTTGCAGGGCCTCTAATTACCTTCAGAATTTGCTTCGTTTGTATTCTGTCAGATGCTGAGTGATCTACAGGCTTCAGGAAATATCAGCTTCTGCTTCACTGATACTTTAATCACAGGAAAGCAGATCATATCGGAATTCCTAATAAATCTGTCTTTCAAATCTTTTCAAAATGCAAAGCAGTACAAGCTGTAATGCAGAACGATAACATCTACACTTTGTACAACAGCAAATTTCCAGCTTGTAAACCTCTTCTGATCCGTCAACACCGAGTACAGCTCATGTCATTTGTTATTCATGTCATTTTGCCCGTAGGAGGAAATTAAAAGTCACAAGCGACAGAAAGTATGAAGGAGAGGGAGATGGTGATGACACAAGTGCAAGGTCTCTTGCCAGATTCAAATCCAGGATGTTGGTTTTACTGTATATGGTATGTGCTGCTTCAACAGGACATCCCATTGAAGTCAGACTTTCATCCAGTGCCATTGTGTTGTTAACCTCCCGCCTCCACTGTTGACTCCAGATGGAGATTTCAGCTGAGGATTAGCAAATACAGTGCTGTGTGTATATGAATGCTCTTTCTGTCTCACACGGATCATTATTTCTTTGGAAAACGACCTAATTTTCCCGTGAGAAGCATAATGGTCGGACTAAGTTCAAAATGCTCATCTGACACTGATCTCATAGAAATTCTGATCTTATATTTTGGATTTTATCAATTCGCTCACAGCTGGAATTTAGGTAGCTGTGGACTCTAACAGCAAAACAAATTACGTGACAGATGATATAATTCCTGGATCAGGACCAAGGCATGGCTTTGGCATATTTTGCATCTCAGGATCATTTTGGAAAATTGCACTTGTTGCTAAGATGACAGGAGTCATGTTATGAAAAGTGTCCAGGTTTCGTTATATAAAACGTCGTTATCTCCCAGATGGGTGGAGCAGGAGTTGCTGCTGCAGATGTTCATTGGAACAGTGAGAAATATTTCAAGTATTCACTGCTGTCAACAGCTGGAGAGTTGAATGAGAGAGCAGCAGGTTTGTGGATGGTGATATGCTCTCACATACAGAAGAACATATTATTGGTAATAGCAGTTTTGAAACCACGAAACAGACATAAATTTGTATTTGAAATGTAGTAGTTGAATATAGTGATTAGAAATGTTCTCATAGAAGTGATGCCAACGGAAACACAGACCGATTTCAAGGCTTTGTACAAATATTACAGATATAAAGAAACCTTTCACAGCATTGGAAAAACATAATATTACATTTAGCCACTGTTTTCTCAATTAAATTAATTTTTTTTTGCCGAGGAATGACATTTCACCCTTGGTAAGAGATTTTATTGATTTTCTGCAACAACAACAACAAAAAAACTAGATAAAATAATTTGAGTAAAGCGAAAGTGATTGTGACAGTTGAGGTGTAACTCAGACTAACAGTGCTTACAGTGATAATCAATCACTTCAGGAAACTGTTTTAAATTAAGCAAGCAAAGCGCTAAGGAGACAAACACAAAGAAGTAAACATAAAACAACAACGTTAGAGAAGCAGCGAGGACACGTTTAGCTTGTTATCGTTACCTTACTGTAATTCCTATAATGTCATAAAATATCCCTAAGCAGGACTTTGACTGGTATCACTGAAGTGAGCAAAGGACAACACTCTGCATGACGGGGCACAAATATATATATGTGAAATGTTGTTAGCTAGTTTATTGATTTAAATTGAACAATATGATTAAAAACCGTAAGGTCCTTTTATCAATTCATATACAAGTACAACTCTGTCAGCAGGTTGTCGCGTTAGATACAAGAAAAGTAGTTAAAAATGTGATAATAAAGTTTCTTACCATGTTTCTGTTCTTCTGGTGAGATTTGTGAAGTTGGTATTAATCCTTTTTTTTTTTTTTTTTTTTTTTAATGAAGCAGAGATAGTTGTTGTGTATCCTGAGGAGAGTAGTTGCATGTACTCAGGACTGAAGTGACTAATGTGCGCTTCAGCCCGCCCAACTCCCTCCACTGCTGACACCAGAGGAGCATGTCGCTTCTCCACGTAGCTCCGAAGGCTTTTGTGTGTTTGTGTGTGCCTTTTTTTTTTTCTCTCTCTCTGTTGGCGTGTGGGTCATGTTTCCGGACAGCTGGCAGAGATGGATATAAATTCTTTAGGTTCTTTATAATCTGTATGCTGTGTTGCAACAACTACGGTACAAAGAGAAACTTTAGATTTTTCTAGTCTTTGTCAGACAAGGAGTGCCCAGCTGACAGCTCTTTGTTTATGCCTGTGTAAAGAAGAAAAATGGATAAAAGAAGGATATGAAATAACATCTGACCTAAGAGACGGGTAATCTTTGGCCAATTTAACAAGCTTACAGTGATTAGTGTGGTTTACTGGAATGCAGCCATTACTGGTTTGTTGTAGTGGGTTGTGTGCATTGTTTACCAGCCTCACATTAACACAAATCCAGTGGAGTAGACTCTTGTGTTTGAAACTTCAAATTTATGAACTGTATTTTGGTTTTGTGGGGTTTTCCTCTGAATGTTGTTTCCTTATTTCTGTTTCCTCAGAAATGTCAGACTTGTTTTTTTTTTTTTAATATCCCTTCTTTGTCTCACATTCTTTCACTTAATGCATCGCCTATAAATATATTCAGTCAAATCAACAAACAAATGGGTTAGAGAACACAAAGTAAACAAACAACAAAATGCCTCCATTAAATTCTTTTCAGTCAGACTCAGCTGGCAACGAATAAGAGCATTTGTTTGGAACCCTGATGTGACTGTTTTTTTTTGTGAAGTCAACAGCATGCAATGTTTGGATGTCACGTTCTCTGGAAGACTGATTAGTGGGCTGGGAAGGTAAATTTTCATTCCTGCGATTACAAGACGTGTACGGGCATGACAGCAGGGCTCACCTTGTGTCATGGACCATAGGAGTTATGTAAGGATTCTGAGGAAAACCTAACCTGCCCCCGGGCCAAACGGGCTTTCCTAGATGTGGTTTATGGGTGGAGTGTAAACGGCGTGCTCGTTGTTGCACAGCACGCACTATCAGTTATTGTTTGTTTGAATTTCTACAGTCAGTGACTCTGTTTAAAGACTAAACATCTGTCAGATCGACTTTAAGTGCTCGCACGCTGTGATTCTCATGCTGTGAATTGTCAAAGACTGTTGATGTCTCTTGCTGCCTGGTGTCCATATGTCCTGTCCTCAGGGGACAGTTTTTTTTCCCCCAGTTGGACAGAAATTTAAACAGGAAGGAAGAGCTTGGTCATTCTGTTTGTGCCGTGGGCCACACGGGCTTGGCTCAAAGTGGGCTCCCAACCAAGGAAATACCGAAAATATTCTCCATTATCACAACTCAGTGATCCCGTCATCACACATTTCACATCATCACACTGTGTAAAAGAAGTTTGTTTTTTTTTTCCAACTCATCTCCAGCAGCCAGGGTCTGCTTATAATAACGGACTCAAAGTTACTCTGTGTCAAAGAAACCAAGTCAGGAAATGTAAATCAACCTGTGGCTGTTTCTGCTGTCACGTCGTTTATCCGTCATTGGCTGGATCCATGTCGGGCACTTCCCAGGCCGCAACAAGCAACGCATAATTTCCGACCATACTCGGGTCGTAGAATGGTTAAGGCCATAGAATGGTTGTTATGCCCACAAACTGCAACACAACACGAATACAGATGAACCACAGGATTTCTGCTTTGTTCCCCCCCCCAGGTGCTGGCAATCCCCAATGCAAAGTGGCCATCGTGATGTGCAGGAACAGCTCTCAGGATGTTAGCAGCAGGTCAGTAGAACAGTCCGATGACGAAGGATATGAGCATGAATGCGTCTTTCTTGTGGAAATTAACACGCAAGGATTTTTTTTTTCTGTTTGCGTAAGAGTTCAGGCTTCTGGTTTCCCGTCTGTCACCGCAGGTTTTATTGTTCCAGGATTTCTGTTACCAGGATTCACGTTTTACCAATTAAGTGTCACTCTTATGGTTTTCTATCAGTTACTTTGTGCCTCTCTGTGTTACTTTGCACTTTAGTGGCTTGTTCCTCACATTAATCTTCCTCTGTTTTGCTGTTCTAACTGAAATGGACTTTGCTTAGGGGCACGGTGCACTTCCCAGCACGCACCTGCATTTTAACTCCAACCTGACATTTCTGCCTAAAGCTTTGTATCAATCTAATCTTGACAATTGATGTCAGTTAAATTTTTCAATGGCACGTTATTGCCACTCATTAATAGCTCACTCTCATCAGCGTTAAGAATATTGTTAGAAAATTTAGAAAAACAGCCACACCCAAGATATGTAATACACTTTCTCCTTGTTTTGTCAGCACTGTTAACAACATACACACACCCAACCCTGTTTGCAGAGACTAGTCTGCAGATTCTTACTGACAATTGCGGCTGTAAACTGCATCAAATTGAGAGCAGCATGGAAAAACTTATGAAAATGGTTATTGTGGGCGAAGTATAACGTGTCATTCCTTTAAAGCTTTGGTCGTAATCTTGTGTCCTAGACATGGGCGACACAGCATGATCCTCGTCCCTATGGAAACGCCAGGTGTGAAGCTCGTCAGGCCGCTTACTGTGTTCGGACAGGATGGTAGGTTTATTGATTTATTTATTGATTTTGTCCGAATATGGCCTTTTTGCACACAGATGTAACAGGTGAGAGTTCCTGGCCTTACTTAACCATTTTCCTTGTTTCTGTGCTCAGATGCCATCCATGGCGGCCACTTTGAAGTGCACTTTGAAAACGTCTACGTCCCTGTCTCCAACATGATTCTGGGTAAAAGCCTGTGTTGTTTCTGTTTCTATTCCCACTTGTTTGTCCTTTCTCCTTCGCATGCTACCTCTATACAGCCAGTTCGTTATTGTCTCTGGACGATGAGGTGATAATGCCTTAACAACTTCCTGAATGAGGTCACTGGGACGGAGATCAAATTTCCTTTTCTGTGGTAACTCAAGGTGTTACTCTTTGTCGTCTCTCGGTTCTGTCCTCTCGTATTTGTTTCCAGGGGAGGGCAGGGGATTTGAGATTGCTCAGGGTCGACTGGGACCCGGCAGGCTGCACCACTGTATGAGAGCCGTCGGCCTCTCAGAGTTTGCACTGGAGCTGCTTTGCCAGAGGGCTGCTTTCAGGCAAACATTTGGAAAAAAGCTGTACCAACATGTGAGTGAACGTGTAGTACCCCAGAGATTCCTCCAACTTTAATTTCAAGGCTGGGGCAGGATGTGTTGAGTTCCTTTATGCTGTTGACACCTAGTGGGCACATTTTTCAATGCAGCCTGAGTAAATGTGCTCTCCTTGCCGTTCTGTTGTGTTTAGGAGGTCGTCGCTCACTGGATAGCAGAATGCCGTCTCATGATAGAGCAAACCCGCCTGCTGACCCTTCATGCTGCTCACGCTGTGGATACGCTGGGCAGCCGGGTTGCTAGCAAACAGGTAGAACGGTCTTCATGATGAACTTAATACTAATTTCACACAGCATACACAGTATAACTTATTTGTCTTAAAGAGCTGCTTTCTTACCCTAAAATGTAACACTTGTTTAGTTTTGGAGATATTTACCACGATTCATTTACATTTTTTTTCCCCAGACGCTCATATCAAGGCTGTTATTATGGAAACTGATTGTTTTCAGTCCTCTATTTTGCAGCTGTTCCTGTGTGGACACCACATACATAAAGCCTGCTCAAAATTGAGTGTATTTTATGGATTTGGAAAAACTCTTGTTTTCATCACTGTTCCTGCTCCCTAGATTGCTATGATCAAAGTTGCAGCAGCCAGAATGGCCTGTAAGGTGGTGGACTGTGCCATCCAGGTATATGGAGGTGCAGGCGTGTCTGGAGACTTCCCACTTGCGCAGATGTAAGTTTTTTGGGTTTTTTTTCCATCCACACAAACAAGAATGTGAATTAAAGCCGCAAGCGGCGATGGACGGGTCCTCGCCCTACGC